GATCTTCGATCAGGTGGCTATGGAAGTTGCCCTCCTCCACTACCCGGATTACGAGCGCATTCATTCCGAGATTCACGTTCGCATCACGGACGTGCCTGTTCAGTATACTCTGCGCCAGCTCCGCCAATCACATCTCAACAGTCTGGTTCGTGTCAGTGGAGTTGTCACCCGCCGAAGCGGAGTTTTCCCTCAATTGAAGTACGTCAAGTTTGACTGTACCAAATGTGGCGTTACCCTGGGTCCTTTCCACCAGGATTCCAACGTTGAAGTGAAAATCTCCTTCTGCCAAAACTGCCAATCACGTGGTCCATTTACGGTCAATTCCGAGCGTACCGTCTACCGAAACTACCAGAAACTTACCCTGCAAGAGTCTCCAGGGACTGTGCCAGCGGGACGTTTGCCTCGTCACCGCGAGGTCATCCTTCTCTGGGATCTGATAGACTCCGCAAAGCCCGGTGAGGAGATCGAAGTCACCGGTATCTACCGTAACAACTACGATGCAGCCCTGAATAACAAGAACGGTTTCCCCGTCTTTGCGACGATTCTTGAGGCAAACTACGTAGTCAAATCGCATGACCAACTGGCCGGCTTCCGGTTGACCGAAGATGATGAGAAGGAAATTCGACGATTGTCTAAGGATCCTCGTATCGTGGACAAGGTCATCAACTCGATCGCTCCGAGTATTTACGGACATACTGATATCAAGACTGCCGTGGCACTCTCCCTCTTCGGAGGTGTCAGCAAAGAAGCACCTGGTCGCCACTCCATTCGTGGCGACATCAACGTTTTGCTGCTTGGAGATCCTGGTACTGCCAAGTCTCAGATTCTCAAATATGTCGAGAAGACTGCCCATCGTGCTGTCTTCGCAACAGGTCAGGGTGCTTCCGCTGTCGGTCTTACCGCTTCCGTCCGTCGGGATCCTATGACGAGCGAGTGGACTCTCGAGGGCGGTGCGCTTGTACTTGCTGATAAAGGTACTTGCCTCATCGACGAGTTTGACAAGATGAACGACCAGGACCGAACATCCATCCACGAGGCCATGGAGCAACAGACTATCTCCATTTCGAAAGCTGGTATTGTCACAACCCTTCAAGCTCGCTGCTCGATTGTAGCAGCTGCCAACCCTATTGGTGGTCGATACAACTCTACGATTCCTTTCTCGCAAAACGTCGAGCTTACCGAGCCTATTCTCTCTCGATTCGACATTCTATGTGTTGTACGCGATACTGTTGATCCAGCGGAGGATGAACGCCTAGCCAAGTTCGTTGTGAACTCTCACGGCCGTGCTCATCCTCTTGTTAACTCAGCGTACGGGTACTCTGACAAGTCGAAAGCGACGCAGAATGGCGACGACCAAATGGAAGTTGATGGTGACGCTCCGATAAAAGAGGGTGAAATCCCTCAAGACCTTCTGAGGAAGTACATTCTCTACGCGAGGGAGAAGTGCAGGCCCAAGCTATACCAGATTGAACAAGATAAGATTGCACGTCTATTCGCAGACATGCGCCGAGAGTCTATGGCAACTGGAGCCTACCCTATCACCGTAAGTACACAACTCGTTTTAACAAAGCACCTACTCACAATTACAGGTCCGTCATCTCGAAGCCATCTTACGTATTGCAGAGTCCTTCTGCAAGATGCGTCTCTCCGACTACGTTGCGTCGGTAGACATTGATCGCGCCATTGCTGTTGCTGTCGACTCTTTCGTTGGGTCGCAAAAGGTCAGCGCAAAGAAGGCACTGGCAAGGGCTTTCGCAAAGTACACTTTGAACCGACCTGGCGCTGTTGGGGCTCCGACCCGAGGAGGACGACAGGCGCAAAGAGCAGCGGCATAAACGGGGCTTCCTGTCGTCAGAGTTCCCTTATGATGAAGCCTAGTAGATGTGTTGAAAGAAGGAGTTTGGTGGATGCGTCTTAATTGATGGCGTGTCAAAGTGCAATGATACCATGTTGGATAGCGTTGTCTTTATGCTCGAATTTTTCTACATAGTACTGTGAGCTAGGTGTTTGTATGGCCATTCTCAGCTAGAGAACATCTGAATCAAACATATGACTGTCCTGTCTTCACTGTGGTACAGAATGCTCATATACACTGTTGCGGTGACCTAGGGAGAATACATTATGGCCACTCATTCCAACCCACCTAACGAGTAATTTGCTAGTCACCACATCAATAGTCAAAGTCGATCCGTAACATCACAGGTCATGAAGATGTTGTGTCCATTGTTCGCCCATTGGAGTAGCGCTAATGGCTAGCGCGCCAAGATTTGCCCACACAATTTTCGCGCGACTGCCCCAATTCTCACGATCAACCAACAACGACCGGAGCTCAACAACCCTTAGGAATACCACATTCGACTTCCTACGAGCAACGATGGCCCCCAAGAAGAACAAGAGAACCGCCGACTCCATCAACTCGCGCCTTGCGCTTGTGATGAAGTCCGGTAAGGTCACCCTCGGCTACAAGTCCACCCTTAAGAGCCTGCGAACTGGCAAGGCCAAGCTCGTCATCATCGCCGGAAACACCCCTCCCCTGAGGAAGTCTGAGCTCGAGTGTAAGGAACACTGTCATCTATTCTGTACGAGCAATCGCTAATTCCAGACAGACTACGCCATGTTGTCCAAGACCTCCGTCCACCACTTCTCCGGTAACAACGTACGTACACCCCCGTCCACTCTCATTGCCTAACGACAAGTTGCCTTGTACGCTATGGAGCTCGTTATTCCACGGATTCAGGATGTATCAGAATGTACACAGAACGTGACGACGACGAGCTCTTTGGTGCTGGGTATACTTCGAGGGCTGGCTCTGAGAAGAGGTCTGAACATGGCTTCGGAGAGCTATCAGCTAATACCAGTTTAGATTGAGTTGGGCACCGCTTGCGGTAAGCTCTTCCGCTGCTCCGTCATGTCCATCCTCGATGCCGGTATGTATCTCCTCTTCTGGTCACATCAAACACAGCCCGCTGACAAATTGACAGGTGACTCCGACATCTTGAGCCAGAACACCGAGAACTAGAGTGCCATGGCAATGGAAAGAAAACAGTTAGACATGATACCTAGGGCGTAGCGCAAGCTCGACCCATGATGATATCCAATGAATACCACAAGATTCATGAGCCATAATGACTGTCCAAATCTGCACTTTGTGACGTGACTCTTCCAAGACAGCTTTCCACTCGGCCTTGCTAGTGCTTACGGACCGAGCTCTTGGGACCGTTATGCATCGACTCATCTGTGAAGAAGCCATGGATGCATCAAAATGCGGTGCAAATCTGGCGAAGGGACTGTAGCAGGTCCCAATTACGATGCGTGCATCTTGTACTCCCAGGTGCACAACGTGCTGAGTGTTGTTCACACTCATCCATGGATTGCGATTGCGACTATGATTACGAAGAACATGTTTTGGTACCATGTTGCACGTACCTTGTTGAAACATGCGCCGTATCGGCTATAGAGATCGCTGTACGCGTCCCCAGAATTGCACATTCGCAGCTCGGGCGGGCTGTGGCGTTGCTGTGCTTTGAAATCCGGCTGGGGGTGCTTGCCCACACAGGGTCCGTGCGTACGTCAATATTCCGCTTAGCAATCCATCACGACTTCCCTTTCGCCTTCGCCTCAGACACCTCCCACTAACACCAAGGTCATATATAGGGTAAGGTACGTACGGCCGCCGCATCGCTCACCGCCGGTAGACGAGTTACTGACAGCTGCACCAGTTTGCGCTCGCCCTCTCTTTCGACGACTCCGGACATCCGCTCATTGATTCACAGCAGGAACAACCGTCACAATGGCCCGCCGTCCCGCCCGTTGCTACCGCTACTGCAAGAACAAGCCCGTACGTCAGAATCCGAATGGGAGATGCGCGAGAGGAGGACAATAGACTGACTGGGCTGTAGTACCCCAAGAGCAGGTTCAACCGTGGTGTCCCCGATGCCAAGATCCGCATTTTCGACCTTGGTCGCAAGAAGGCCAATGTAGACGACTTCCCTCTCTGCATTCACTTGGTCTCCAACGAGTACGAGCAGCTGTCCTCCGAGGCGCTCGAGGCCGCCCGTATTTGCGCCAACAAGTACTTCGTCAAGAACGGTGGAAAGGAATCTTTCCATCTCCGTGTCCGCGTCCACCCCTACCACGTCGTCCGTATCAACAAGATGTTGTCTTGCGCTGGTGCCGATAGATTGCAAACCGGTATGCGTGGTGCTTTCGGCAAGCCCAACGGTCTTGTCGCTCGTGTCAACATCGGCCAGATTCTCATGTCCGTCCGGACTAGGGACTCTAACCGCGCCGTCGCTCTCGAGGCTCTCAGGCGTTGCCAGTACAAGGTATGTTGAATTCACGATCGCAGAAAGACACGAGGCTAACTAGCTGGCAGTTCCCTGGTCGCCAAAAGATCATTGTCTCCAAGAACTGGGGTTTCACTCCTCTCAAGCGCCAGGAGTACATTGACCTCCGCCAGGAGGGCAAGGTCAAGATTGACGGTGCCTACGTCCAGTTCCTCCGCAACAAGGGTAACCTTGCCGACAACATCCGTCGCTTCCCTTCCGCTTTCGAGGCCTCTGCTTAGGTTCAGGATTGAGAGATGAGTTGTGTGCATGACGATCATGGGTCCAATGGGAATTCGGTTACGGCGTGATTTGCTTTCTTCATCAGTTGTGGATGAAGGCTGGAGGATGAATATCTGCGGCGTGTAACTGTAGAGAACAACCAGACACAGCCGGACAATGACAAATGATACAACAACCTCTTTTTTCAATATGCTCGTGTTTATGAATCTTTTACAGATAATCTGACGCTGTCTTGACAAACAAAGAACTCTGTTTTTGATGTTTGATATATCCGGACGTGGAAAACATACTTCAAAGCTGTAGGTCATCATTCACGTCTGAGGGTTGCACATTCATCAGAAAAGTGATAACAACGGACATGTACGTCACCTGCAAATCGAAGCACGTCTCAACGGCGATCAGCAGTTGCTATCTATGATTGGTAGTGACGTCACTCTTGTAACTGAACAATTGTAGTCGATTTCTACTTGTAATATGCGTATGACTTGTGGTATAAGTTTCCAGCCCAACAACGCCCGTTGCCAAACGCCATTCCATCCTCAACATGACGAGAGGCAAATGCAATACAAAAATAGAATCTAGACACCAACACCAGCACCTCGTCCTTCAGCTTGTGCACGAGAGAACTGCTGCAAGAGCTGTAGTACACCTCCACGGTTATTGCCTGGTTCCTCCTCTTCTTCCTCGTCATCCTGCGCAAGGCGACTTGTTCGCCAAGAGTCGCCCAGTGTGCTTTCCTCTTCAATACGTGTATTCGACGGTCCAGGTCCATCCGGAACTGCTTGGAGAGGCGTTCGGTACCTGCCATGTGGCGCTTGACGTGGCGAACCGCGCAGCACCGACGCAGAAGAGGGTTGGTGGTGAGGATCGAGAAGAACAGAATTCATGGGCTCATCCCTAGTACCTGTTCTATGTCTTGGTGTCCTCTGCTGGGGATTCTGGCGTCCAGTCGGACCTCTACTTGTTCCTCTTGCGCCCATCTCTACTGGCTGAGCGGTCTGCGACATGGAGCCAAAGTTATTTGGGAACTGTGGTGGAGGATTGAACTGGCCCCGTCCTTGAAGACGACCATTGTAGCCACGCCCAGAGTTCTGGTACGTGTCCAAGAAGCCGTAGTATGATGCCATCATCTTGTTGTCTTTAGCCATGAAATAGTCTTCTCGAAGATCCGGATCTTCTCTTGGGGCCGCAGTTCCGTTCGCGGGAATATTGTTGGCGTTGCGTGTGGTCTTTGTAGACGGAAACATGGAGTAGGAACATGTTACACCCAGGCCGTCGACCACAATCGAAAATTCACGGAAGAAGTCAACAATACGATCGCTACATTTGGGCAACCGGAAGATGAGGAGAAAAGGAGTAATGACCATGCTGAGTATCTCTTCGGCAAAGATGAGAATCTTGGGCTGGTATAGTTGAGCGAATTCGGCGCGAACCTCGTCCGTGTGTAACCTATCACGCCACGACTCTGGCTCGTAGCGCGTGTGGTAGATGACATGGTTGAGATAGTAGGATGGATCTGTGACCTGATCATCCTGAGGGCTGCTCCCACGTGCAACGCGGTAGATTGTACTAAGGATACCGATCCAGAAGATAGCAGTCTTTCCAGGTGTGATCTCAAAGTTGAGGAACAACTCTGAGTCAAGTAGTGTGAACACCACGAGGACAAACGCAAAGGCTCCCGCGATGAAAGCTACAAATGAGGAGACCTGTTCGGTCTTGTCTTTAGGGAATTGGGCGAGGTAGAGATTTGCGTACGGATAGGCCATATTACGGCGGCGGGCGAAATAATGAGGAAGCTCGTTGAATTCGCGGAACTTCCACTGAGCAAACGTGGTGAAATCGCGGTTGCTGAGTTGGCCAGGGTCCTTGTGGTACTCGGTGAAGTATTTGAACATGTATGATGCAAGCACGAATACTACAGCGGCAGGTGCGCATAGGATACTAATGATACCTGTCCAGAAGAAGCGGGTTTTTAACCTCTTAACCAGCTCTCGGCGGTTGCGCTCCTTGAGGAAATCGGGGTTGAACTGGCCGTTTGGTCCACTAAAGACGAAGTCCATGATGGCGAGGTTGACGTGCCACCTAGTTGTTTCCGAGAAGATGTACCGGTCACCAATAAAGGGAAGCGGAACAGTGACATCCAATATCTCTTTGTTGAATAAAGCGATCAGGTAATTGTCACGACGCATGAGACGACCTGCAATGTCAATAGCATCTAGTCGCTGCCTGCTTTTTGAATCGAGCAACTTGCGCGTCTGTGGGGACAGATTCGATGCAGTCGCCAAGTTCAAGTCCCGTAATGCCATGATGCGTGTCACTACCTGCTGCCACTGTATCGTTTGTATGTCGCGGTCGGGAATATCGAGAAGATAGTGATAAAAGTCGTGCATGGCTCGAAGTCGGGGTACGTCTGTGACTAGGGTGTAGAATGAGTAGAGCCAGTAGATGAGGAAGAGCCAGAGGGCGAATATCCAAAAACCATGGATTCTATATCATGTCAGTCTAGAACCGTGTTCACAGGATTGGATGACCTACCTCGCAGCGCACTTGGGTACCAAGACCTGGCTCATCTTGTTGCTCTCTGACAGCTTGGAGTAGTCAATACACCAGCCAAGGAATGTCATGAATCCGACTACAAAAGCAGTTTGCGCGAGCGTTAGAGCTCGTCTCAGAAGGATCGAGTATATTCCGCAGCCGACGTAGTATTCGTAGACCTCGGTCATGTAGTTGTCCAAGTCCGTCTGATTCACCCACAGCCACATTGCCTTCTCCTTCCGGTCGGCTACAAAGTGACCGGGCCTACTGGTATGTCCCCACGGCCGCGAAGATGGGCCGCTCCTATCCTCATCGTGCAGCCGCTGCTGTGTTCGGGTGGCATCCCATTGTGCCCGTGTCTGCCGCGTGGCTGGGCCAGGCACCGGCATGGGAAGGCCTTGATTGCGCTGGGTCGAACTTGGCCCAGGCTCGTGTCCTCCTTCGAGAAGCAAAGACTGTGGTACGTCGTCGTCGTCATCTAGCGGTACGGTGCGAGCTGGAGCTGGCTGTCTCCAAGCTGGCATGCGACTCGCGGTATTGATGCCCGGCGGAGCGTTGCGTTTGGCCTCGGGAGAGACGGCGCGACTCTCAGCCGTCATCTGGCTTGAAGAGGCCTCCTCGAGCAGGTGTGCCAGGTCTTGCTCCTCGAAGCGAGCCTCAAAGTTCTCCTCGTCAATGTCCATCTCGTGGCGCTCCTCGGTCGAGGTGGAGTCGCGGCGGGCGTGGGCGGTGAGGGGTTCGCGTTCGTATGTTTCGTCTGAAGCAGAAGGAAGTAGCCTAGACAGGAGGTTGGAGGCCATCATGGCTGATGTATAGTGATGCGCTCAGGCAGCGGCGGGGCGCGTGGCCGTGCTGTGCTGTGCTGCGCTGGGTCAAGCGTGTTTGGAGGATGGCAGAGTGGTCAGAGGACCGAAGACGTGATCCCCAAGAGTCAAGACGAGCCTCCATGAGCACTGACGTAAACCTAGTCAGTGATCATTTCAGCGTGATAGCGATTAGGAAGAGAGATGGTTGCGGCTATCCTAGGGCACATGGCAGTCACGCAGGTGACGCGACCGATATCGATAAGGCTCGGCTGCACTTGCCCCTTGTCAGCCCGATATGCCACCTTTCTGGGCCCAAAGTCACAACACCTATCCAGTCATGTCCGTGAGCTATTTCCAGGACCGGGCAACTCCCGCTTCTCAGAATGGCACCTCTCCGTCTTCTCCCTCTGTAGCCCCCGCGTCGCGAGGTACAAATGCCCTCTCGAGCAGGATCACCAGTGTGCTCTCTGCATCATACGCAGATCTAGAGATCCGCGATGCCTTGGAAACTCTGGATGCACGTCGAGTGCAGAACACTGCCGAGACACGACGTCAGTTGCGTCTAGATGTGCAGAAGGAGGTCATCGAGTGCAATGGCGAGATCATCAAGGACTTTGGTCAGGTTGCCGAAGTATGTTGCAACACGAACTGCTGAAAACATCAACTAAGCTCCACTAGCAACTCAAACGTATCGGAAGTGCTATCAGTAGCTTGAACACTTATTGCGCTGATATGCGCGGTCATATTGAGGCTGCCAACAGAGAGACTGGACCTGTCTTGGAAGAAGCCACAAGCCTCATCACTCAAAGGAAGCAGGTCGAATCTAAGCAGCAGATCTTGAACGCCTTTAGCACCCACTTCCTGATATCTGAAGAAGACGCCACTACTCTGACATCCACTGCTGAGCCTGTCAACGAAGACTTCTTCCAAGTCTTGACCCGCGTAAAGAAAATACATCACGATTGCCAAGTGCTGCTCGGAACCGAAGACCAACGATTGGGCTTGGAGGTGCTAGAACAGAGCTCCAAGCAACTCAACTCAGCCTTCCAGAAGCTATATCGGTGGATCCAACGCGAGTTCAAGACACTGGATCTAGAAAACCCGCAGATTAGTGCTTCTGTGCGCCGGTCTTTGCGCGTGCTAGCCGAACGTCCCACACTATTCCAAAGTTGTCTTGACTCCTTCGCCGAGGCACGAGAAGCCATTCTGTCCGACTCGTTCCATGCTGCGTTGACTGGATCGACTTCAGAAGAGCATATAGCCACCAAACCAATCGAATTCCATGCTCACGACCCACTGCGCTACGTCGGAGACATGCTTGCATGGGCTCACTCAACGACTGTATCGGAGAGGGAGGCACTCGAGAACCTCTTCATCTCAGATGGCGATGAAATCAAACGTTCCATTCAAGCAGGTCTTGAAAGCGAACCTTGGCTGAGAAGTGAAGAAGATGCAGAAGTCTTTGACGGACGAAAAGCTTTGAACCAGCTCGTCAGCCGCGATCTCACAGGCGTGGCTCGTCTCCTAAGGCAGCGTACTGAGCAGGTAGTTCAAAGCCATGACGATGCTACCCTTGCTTACAAGATCGCAAACTTGATCGGCTTTTACAAAGGAACCTTTGCCAAGCTGCTTGGACCAGATTCCGATGTCTTGGATGTATTTGACGGATTGGAAGCTTCTGCGATGCGGCAATTCCGTGCCAATATGAGGGACTACGTGGCCAATGTTCAAAGCGATCTTGCTGTAGCACCGGCCGACTTGTCTGCTCCCGAGTTTCTAGAAGATGCGCTTCAGATGCTTCGAACTCTCGCAAAGAGCTACGATACATCAGTTGCCGCAACGGAGGATAACGGTCAAGGGTTCCAGACTGTACTTGCGGAATCGCTAGATCCTTTCTTGAATGGCTGCGAAAATTTGCAGAAAGAGATGAAAGAGCCGGACAGCGCCATTTTCGCCATTAATTGCCTCTATGCAGCAAAAGAGGTGCTCTCTGCATATGCCTTCGCTAGCGAGCGAGTCAGCGAGATTGATGATACGATTGACGAGAACGTTGCAAAGTTGACAGACTACCAACATCAACACCTGATTCACGAGTCTGGTCTTGTCACTCTTCTCAATGCTCTTGAGGAGATCGATGATTCGCCAGAAAGTCTCAAGACAATCCCTGAGTTGGAAGCTTTCAAGCCAGATGCACTTGTCGCAGCCAGTCAGCAGCTGGATGAGTTTTTGCCGTCAGCTATCATTGACGCATCGGAAAACATCAAGCGGCTGCGTAACAGGAAGATGATACAGAATATCACCGAAGAAGCGGCTAGCAAATTCTGCGAGGACTTTGAAATTGTGGAGGGCAAGATGATAGCGGCCGATGATCTGACATACGATGAAGACAAGGAAGACGAGGAGCAGGAGCCCGGGTTGAGGGACTTGTTTCCTCGTACCAGTGGTGAGATACGGGTGCTACTCAGCTAGACGTCTGCAGTGACAAGTATGTACAAGCTAGTAGACAATGATCATGATATTCCACCTCATTCATGCATCGTATTCATCATTTCCATCATTTGTGACGCGCAAGTCTGTACTCATGCTCTCTCGAATGTCTAACTCGATGTGGTCACGCTTCACTGAGGTTTCTTCTTCTCCCACTCTTCTGGCGTATGGCACTTTGGCGTCCACGCATGTATCGCCGCAATTTCCTCTTTCAACGTCGAGTTGACTAGCCGATGCCGTGCTAGAGTGGTCTTCTTGGCAAACTGGGGAGACACGATGATGGCCTCATACATTTGCCCGCATCCGCCTATTCTTGTTCGTTAGTATGTGCTGAGGACACCAGTTGCCAAACCGTACTTGTCTAGTTCAACACCATGTTTACGACAAAACCCTCCTGGCTTGTTTTTGAACATTGGAAACCAAAAACTAGTACGTACCACTCAGATCTTCAATCTCAACGTAGGTTGCGCCCAAACCCTCCTTCAATTTCCTTTCCAGTCCCTCCATGGTCACGCCAGAAGTTGCCTGCACGTTCGTCGCTTCCTCGTCCGTCCTTGCACTCATATTGTTCGTAGCGTCTGGTTCGATGGCAAGATTATCAAGAGTTTTGTAAAGTTTGTGTCGTGGATCCATAGGTCGATGATGTGATATTGACTTGGTGTTCCTATCTTCGGATCTGATAAGATGCGGCTTCCAAACGGGGAAAGACCGGGATTTGGAGAGGGGAGGGGCTATGACGCATAGCTGCAGGGGTCACAGGCGCGTTAAGGCGGGATTGCTGCACGCGTAGTTTTGCTTTGCAATTGTTCATCTGGGAGCTGTATGTTTGCATCTACGGCACGACGATTCGCTATGAGTGCGACCACTACTTCAGCGCCCTTTTCCAAGGCGGTGGTGAGGGCTATGCAGAAGCTGTAAGTGACATTAGATAGAATGCATCGTTCCCTCTTCGATGCATAGCAATTGACCAGGACCCCTACGCGATTCAAATAACATCATGTACTGACTGATTCAAAGGTACCCCCGTGAACTTGCAGACAACTCCTGGGACAATACTGGGCTGCTGCTTGAGGCGCCATTCGATCCGTCGCGACGCCAGTCAAACACCGTCCTCCTTACTATCGACCTTACGAAAGCTGTCGCCGACGAAGCAATCGCCCTTAACTCTTCCATTGTCATCGCATACCATCCTATCATATTCAGAGGCTTAAAGTCCTTGACTCTCGCGGATACCCAACAGCAATCGCTACTACGCCTTGCTAGCCATGGCATCAGTGTGTACAGCCCGCACACTGCGCTTGACTCAGCTCCAGGAGGGCTTGGGGACTGGCTAGCGGATATTGTAACAGGCACGAAGACGGTTCGTGACGGTTCAGATGCAGACGGTCAATCCGAAGCTACAAGCAACACAAACGCAGATGATGATGACCCCTTCGTCGAAAAGAAGAAGCGCCCTACATTCACCCTGCAACATCATCCGAGCCAGCCAATGCTCAGCTTTGGCAAGCTACCTGCCCCCACCACGGTCCCACTCACAGCTCCTCACAAGCGCGAAGCCATCAAACCTCAATCGCCAGCACTAGCCTCACACCCTGGAGCGGGTATGGGTCGCGTCGTAAGGTTCGACCACCCACAACCGCTTCCTACGCTACTCGATCGCATAGGCAAGGGACTCAACAACCCCAAGGGCTTCCCAATCGCCATACCACAGGACAAGACGATCTCTGATATTGAGATACGTAGCGTAGGCATATGTGCAGGCTCAGGCTCAGGCCTACTGAACGGTCTCGATGTGGATTTGCTGTTCACAGGCGAGATGGATCATCACTCGGCGCTTGCGGCGATCGAGAAGGGCAGGGTCGTTATCAGCTTGTTTCACAGCAATTCTGAGCGTGGCTTCCTGGCAGAGGTGTTGATGGAGCAACTAGAAGAGGCAGTGCAAGAAGAATGGACAAAGGTCAGAGAAGAGGAGAAGGACAACGAGGAATTACAAGAGGCATTGGCGGACGATGACTTTGAGATTGGCGTCAGCGAGGTCGATCGAGATCCTTATGGCATAGTAGTACTGAAGAATGACGCAGAGGAGGCATAGCGACAGCAAATAGGACACAATTCATGGGAAATCACGATGATGATATGGATGTGGAATTCGAGGTGGTGGGGTCCGGACCTGGTTGCCCCACTTCATTCCGCACACCTCACCATGCGACGACCGTGGCCCAATCTTCAGGGTAGTCAAGGGCCCATCATCGCCGTCCTATATAAATGGTACAATTTTTTGAATCTCAACAAATCCTCTGTGGCGCAATTGGCTAGCGCGTCTGACTGTTACACCAGTGGCTATCAGGAGGTTGGAAGTTCGAGCCTTCCCGGAGGAGGATTGTTTTTTTGCCTATGTTGTGTAGTCAGCACGTAGACATATGATCCGTATTCATCACGAAGCTACAATTTTTTTCCTCTTTAGAACTGCTGAATGCATTTGCTAAAAACATACATTGACATGCAGCATGATTGACACTTACTTTAGTATTGCATGAGGTTCGAGGTGACGAGTATTGCTTAGATGCGCCCAAGTAAAATACGTACTCGCCTCGTATGTGTTGCATCTCCAACGAGTAAATGGTAAGAAGATCGCATATCATCCCTTACTAAATACTCAATATCTCGTCTACAGGCTTTGAAAAATAATCAACACCGTGCATCTACCCGAATGATGACGCACTGCTTCGACATTGTATCGTACAAGCCAAACTCGCTTACAGTCCTCAGACAAATCTCCTCCAATCTAGCTTTTACCACGACCATTCTTACTTGATCCAATTGTTTCACGCCAACCTCGGGATTTCCGCTCGGTGAGCGCAGCTCTGGCCCTAACGATGGCATAACCCTACTGAGAAACCCTCTCCTCGAATGCCTTTGTGCACTATCCGCTTCACTTCTTCCATGCCCTCTGGGACTCCTGAGAACCGGGCTCGCATTCAGGTTTTCGCTTAGCATACGCTCCAACTCTACAATCACAACTTGCGGTCTCCAAAACTCTGTCCGATTCATTTGGCCTTCTAACCGCACGACTTTCGGCTCGTCTTCTGATGAGAAACCAACTACTTCTACCGGTTTGGAGTCGGAAGTGTCGAAGCTGTATTCAGACTTCTCTTCCACTGCGGGCAAAGGTATATCGGAGGGGAGCATGGCGATGGTTGTTTGGGCGATGCCGTAGGTAGCGCGTTCTTCGATTAGAGGAATGACGTGCCTTTCGATCACGGATTGAATGTGGTGTGTGCGGGTTGTGCTTAACTGATCGAGGATGGTCTGACCTCGTGTGGACCCTGGTGAGCTGTACTCTGAGTACGGTGGAGGAGAGGCTTGTTTTTCGTTTCGAGACATTGTCGAGATTTGAGATTGAGAGATGAAGGTTATCTAGGTATCGCTATGTGTAGAGGTGTGGAAGTGTAGATGCTGTGACATCAGAATCTCTGCGGCGATTCGAGTTCCTTGGTCAGTTACTTGCTCTCTTTACCAAACTTCTGTTTTCCGCTCCAGTGGCGGTAGTCAGAAGAGTCATTCATCGATATCTACGGATCTCGGCAAACCTATACTCTGGTTAGCAGATTTCTAGAAGTCAGCCCTGCCTCAATCCCGTATACTGATGCCTTAACTAGTCCTAAAGGGTACCTGTATAGTCTCGTGACATTATAAGCCATGGGAATAAGGACGCAGTGTTACGCTGCGCCGCCTATGGTAAGCGAATCACAAGCATGCATCTGCACGGTCGCGAGGCGTTCGGCCCGGGAAGCTTGGCGCAGTGAAGACAATGTCTTGGATGCGATAAGATAGAAGACAGTAACTTCAACCAGCAAGTTCGGGACGGAGGCTTGGGAACGCCCAGTTTGCACAGCGCGTTCCTGACTTTCGGCCTGAAGATCGCCTCACCGGCCCTTTTCTTTGAGCGATGCATTGCGCAGCAAAAAGACGCACCTATTTCGCTCACCGTGCTGGAATTATGCCTCTCAAAAGTCAAAATGCCGCTTCAGGACCAAGGCTGAGATGATCACATGTAGCAGGCTATGTGGCGCAAGGCAGAAAGCATTAACCTCTTTGGGATTAGTCATATGGTCTGTGCATATGTTTCCACCAACACCAGACGAAGATGGTCACCGAGAACGCCTTTACATGCCGGCTGCACGGATAAGCCAGCATGTGCAAACATTATCTCAAAGACTTCGAGATGTATAAAATAGTCAATATGGCCCCTGTTTTGCCTGATACACCTCAGTACACCTGTTCATCATCATCCCGAGCCTCAATTCTGGTACGGTACAACCTTGAGTCCTTTACGAGCACATTAGGTACCGTGGTTCTATCAGCACCGCGTAACTCACGCAAAGCCTTCATATATATTACTGAGTAGAGGTTCCTATCTTTTATAAGGGCTGCATCACTCCTCTTTACTACACCACCTGTTCCAACCTTCATCGACTATCCTTCGATATTGGACACCAACTCCATCAAAACTACCATCAGCATCATCTGAGTTTTTCAAAAACCAGCCGTCAGCATGTGGTACCATGTCGCAGAGCCGAATTCCTACCTCGTTATTACGGGTGTAGGAATCGAGAAAGTCTTAATTAAGAAGAAAGCTTTTGTATACCCCCTACAAAAGGTCTCGAAGATCTCGATTACACCCTTTGACTTCTCCATGGCCCTCCAGGCTATGACTATCGAGAAACTTAAATTTGCTCTACCAGCAGTCTTCACAATCGGCCCTGCAGATAGCCCTGAAGCTCTTGAGAAATACGCCGTATTGCTCACTGGAGAAAGCGATGGCAGTCCTACTCAAACAGCAGCTAAGGGTGTTGTCTCAGTTGCTGAGGGTCGCAATCATGTTCAAGAGATTGTCAAAGGTATTATTGAGGGTGAGACTCGAAGCATCGTCTCCACCATGACTATGGAAGAACTTTTCCGTGAGCGTAAGATCTTCAAGGACAAAGGTAAGCTCGAAATCTACAGATTACCTATACGGCAGACACTAATTGCGAGTAGTAATTCAGCAAGTGCAATCTGAGCTGGACCAATTTGGTCTTTGCATTTACAACGCCAACGTCAAGGAACTACAAGACACACCAGGTTCAGAGTACTTTGCTTTTCTTTCTCGCAAGGCGCACGAGGGCGCTCTCAACCAAGCTAAGGTCGATGTCGCCCATGCTCGTATGCAAGGTGAGGTCGGAGAGGCTGAAAAGCAAGGAAAGACAAAGCAAGAAGTCGCCAAGATCCACGCCCAGACTGCCGTCCTCGAAACCGAACGTAAAGCCGAGAAGGCCACGGCAGATGCAAAGTTCACCGACAAGGAGATTGAGATTGGCCGCGACCTCAATGTTGCTCGAATCAACGCTAAGCGTGAAGCTGAACGCCGTGATGCGGAGCTGCAGACGGAAGTCGAGAAGAAGAGGGCACTCATGGAGCTTGAACGTCTTCGAGCAACCAAGGTTGTGCAGGCTAAGATTGAGAAGGAAAGTTCCCAGCAGCAGGCTGACGCAGAACTGTACACCCAAGAGAAGGCAGCAGATGCAAGCAAGTACGGCCAGCAAGCCGAAGCTGAAGCTGCTGCTTTCCGTCGACTCCGCGATGCTGAGGCAAACTTCCAGGCGAAAGAGCGCGAAGCCGAGGCGAACTTCATCGTCTCCAAGCGTCAAGCTGAAGCAGAATATTTCGCCCAGGAGCGTGCAGCTCAAGCCCACCTCATCACCCAACAGCGCGAGGCCGAAGGTCTTTCCGCGATGGCCAAGGCCTACGGCGACATGGCAAATGTTCTCGGTGGTCCTCAAGGTCTCATGCAATACCTCATGCTCACCAACGGCACATACGAGAAGCTTGCGCAAGCCAATGGTAACGCTATCAAGGGACTTCAACCAAAGATCAATGTCTGGAACACTGGCAGCCAGGGTAGTGAGGGCATGGCGGATCCGTCGGCACCTATTCGCAACCTGTTCCAGAGCCTGCCACCTCTTCTCAGCACTATTCATGATCAGACTGGTATGGCGCCACCTACCTGGTTAGCGCAGATGCCTCAGCAGAACGGTGATTTGAGCAAGATGCATCTGAGGAACGGTAGTGATATATCCTCGTAGAGAGGTGGTATGACCGGCGTTGTTGATGAACGGAGACAAATTGCACAAACGAGAGGTGGGCTGTGGATGTCAGTGTCTTTTTCTACGTCATTAGTTGCTATACCCCGGCTTGGCCACGGCTAGGAGTTCGGGATACGTTGTTGTACTATTTGCTTTTTCTTAGAACAAGATCCGTTGCTTTTACCATAATATATACTTATCATAATGTACAATGCTATAAAAACATACTACTATACTTGGATGCGAACAGTCCCAGTGATGCAAAAGAGAGACCCAGCTTGATAATAGATACATCTCGAATATCTAATGCGTTGTGTAGTCTTTTATTATATAAAGCCACATTGCACGACAATCGTTAAGAAATTAGTCTACCGAGGTACGATCTGGAGGCAATAAATGGAAGATGGAAGTGAAGAATACGCATCCTCTACGGGAGCATAATCGAAACATCAGAACCTCTCACCTTAGCACGATGCGTATATTGAGGGGCAGCTTCCCACGCCAGCTCCAGATTCCTTCGGACATCTCGAATCTACGACACCCCCGCATGCTATATGGATTGACTGTTCAGCACGACTCACCGCCTAAAGTCCTCAAGCACTGGCCTGAGCTAGTGCAAATTCCACGGGAGAAGTGTGCTCGCTACTAAAAGCTAGAGTACTCGACTACACACATATAGGACATCCCTTGTCCTGTGCGGTTAGATTTTTGCGACGAGCATATTGGTGGTATCGAACGGCGTGACAACGTCCCGAGGAGCCGGCATCGCATGCAACACGATGGCTTGCCAAATCCAGATTTCAGTACTCATCAATAGTCGCTTTCTTTTGCACACCGTATGAGAATAAGAGTACCTACTCGGATCCTGGTGGTGCACTCGAAGGTACTGCGTGATACTTTGAATGTAGGTTGTGAGTCCAGTACGTTTGGTCATCCAACATGGAAACCTCGGGCAGAGTTCCGCGTGCGTCAAGAGACAGCAGCCAGGCCTAGGTGCTTCCGAGATACGATATCCTAAGCAACAAACAATTAGTTCACCAGTCGACATGCTTGTAAGATGGAAGTTGCCATGTCGATGGAGGATCCGAAGGCTGCGCCGAATGGCCTCGGATAAACGCGAACGCGTGGAGCGACGGAGAAAATATCCTGACCAAGCATAGGTAGATAACTACCCGCATAGAAGATCGTAAGACGGTGAGATCTAGTTCAGTCTCCAATATTGCAAAGGCGATCCGTCGCCTTAGGCTTGCCTCAGTTGCCGTGGTAATACTGAAGATGACGCCAGTGTTCAGCCCGATATCATCATCCGTCGAACCTTCCGCATGCAGCGTCTCCACACACACCCCGCCCCCTCAACGTGAAACCGGCCACGGCTGAAGTTTTTCAACGCGTGTCGTCAGTATCGTGTTATGGTGTCGTGAGAACACTAAAGCAAACAAGGGCCTGGAACGGAGATTATCAGGGTTGGGCTGTGTGATGAGGGGAATAAACATCGGCGACCGATGATCTCGAGCTCACTCAGCAAGCGAGGTCCGCTTCTCCATATACGCGTTTAGTAAAACCTGCGTCTACTATACATGCTCACCGGCAGACGCATAAGCATCCGCACCCAATACCATTGCCAAAGGGCTTATCCCTAGTTGCCAAAAGCAACTCAGCCGCTGCACTAGATAGGTCACCAATGCACGCGATGAATCCTTCTCAGGGTGCCCCTCTCCATGCCAAACCATGACTTTACCGCATCCGGTCCAACTATTACGCAGTCAACACGTCCTTTGACACGTCTCACGCGTTCGCGGTAGCACATGATCTACTTCCGACGCGTCGCACCAGCACAAGGGCACGGGCTGAGAAACTTGGCACGCGACGTGCGACACAATTCCATCACAACTCTCCACACAATAAGCCCAAGTGGGTACTACGGCTTATGCTCGCACTGTCTGACTGGCCGGACAGCTACGGCAGCGAGGAAAACGTTAGGCCTCGGCGTAATGCCTGGGCTAATTGTGCATGCGGCCGCGAAACTTCAACTTCGGGGTTGGTGTTGTGGGCTGGTTCCATCCGCTTGCTGCATGTTTTATTTTTTCTGCCGGAAGATCGTTAGATGGTCCTCGTCGGTCAGGCTCATCTGTACACAGATAGAGATTCAGGACTTATTGGCTTCTTGTTCTATACCGTGTGTTGAAACAGCTGTTGCTTTTCATCAAAGAGAATGAATGCGGTGCAGCAGGGGGATCCATCGCGTCGTGGCTTAGGGCTAACTGCCTACCATGGATCATGGGCAGAAGGCACAGACCAGACATGATGACGCCTGTGCTCACGTTACGGAACTACTTTACGGCACGGCGGTGCGGAGATCAGTGCACTGAGAGGGGCTTAGGTGGAACGCACAGTCTCTTCTTCACACTCTTTTCATTTGAATCATCCATTTCATTCATTACTAGTTCATCTGCTCGAAGCATCTGTATTCCTTCAGAAAGGACCAGCTGATCTGTCAAAGTGTTTAGGCTCTTCTCCGAACCGTCAACCCCGCTATATCACCCATCCAGCCGATCCATTCCTTCGGACCAAATCCATATCGAAGCAGATGTCACTGAAAGACAAGAGACTGGGTATTAGTCGTTCACGCTTCGAGACAGTCATTGAGATTCGTGAAGACTCCATACCCGATTGGCGCCGATATCCCACCCACGCTTCGTAACGTTCATCATGTCCGTCGTGATAGAAGAGAAAGACATGAACACTAGGAAATAAGAAACCGATCTGTATGGTCGGTTGATAAAGAGAGGAAGCTATAGCCGAGCAAGAATGCCTGGATACGCAAAAGAGATGGGGAAGCCGAAGCCGTAGGTTTGGTCGGACGTCGTCTGTTGTAGGGCCTTCCATACCGAACCCAACGTCGCTCTCGGCCTCCCACACCCAAATTATTGAAGTTCATCGAAGACACATGTAGCCACATGATCATGTCCAAGAAGTAAAAGTCGAGAACATGAACCAAGAAGCAATCCAACGTGCAGAGATCTGCCGCTGAAGAAGGTCGAAGTTGGTATAGACAAGACAAAGGAAATGCTTTTGACAGAAAGCAGGTTTAGGCTGTGAGCCAAAAGGCAAGTGTATGCAATGACAACGCTTGAGGCTGTCGGTCGTAACGCCGATGATGCAACCATGCTTAGGTGCATAGATTAAGCGGAAGAGAAGACAATCGAGCTCTACGATCGATATAGGTGTGCCGAGTCGCTAGGCATGCCGGCGAAACGCTGTTCGAATGAAGCTGGAGGCTCGAAGCTATGCGAGAGTGCCGCTCGAGGAAAGGTATTACTTGATCGACCAACGAATGGTGAGCCTAGTCGAACAGTACCTTTACTTTGAACATCTGCTGGCACAGCAGGCGAGGTCTGAGCTGGGCTAGGCATAGCAGATCCAGCATGTGCGAACGGGTTGAACCCTGACGGGTCGTTGACTAGAGGTAGTCGCCGGGCACCTTCCATCATGTCGCCCAAGCTGAAACCACGGCTCCTTACACGACGATGGCTTGACTCGGCTGGTGCCCCAAATATCTCGTTGACGAAGCTCTCTCCGCGGTTTCGTGCTCTATCTTCGAAGCTGTTGTGAAGTGCGCGTCGCTTGAACACCCTCGACTTGGGTCGAGGCGCGTGCAGTTGAAAAGGCGAGCCGAGACGTGGTGTTTGGGAAGAGGATGACTGCGCGTGCCACGTTCGCGCGTTGCTCTGGTTCATCTTGCTGTTGGTAGACTCAGACCTCGCATGGAATGGTGAGCCTAGCACGTTGCCCAATCCCAGGCCGATATGGAGCGATTGCGACTTCTGGTGAGCAGAAGAACGCGCACTTGACCATGTTCGCGGCGACGGTCTCGGTGTTATATCCTTGGTAAGTTGCGACAACGGGTTACCCAACTGCATCGATGCTGCGGTGCTTGTAGCCAGCGACAGATTCATGTCCCTTGTGGAAAAGCTAGTAGAGCCGAACGGCGAGGACAACGGTTGCTGTTCTTGTTGCTGTGGTTGCGTCTGTTGCGTCTGTTGCATCGGTTGCATCGGTTGCGGCTCTGGCTCAGGTGGGGGAGAGGATTGTAGCGGCGAAGGCGATCGACGAAGCATACGCTGATAGTGTGCAGACAGAGTCGGTTTCTGCTTAGCCAAGTCTCGTAGTCGCTTTCGACATTGCTTCTCGCTAGGGAAGCGTGTTGATGACTTGCTTGACAGAGTGATAGGTGTGTTGTTGCCGCTCCTTATCGACCTTAGGGCACTTGGTGTACCAGTCAGGGGGTGGGATTGTGGGGTCGCGTGCGGGCCAGCGCGAGTGTGCTTTGGGCCCTTCCAGGTCTTGCGGGCCATCCTCGCCACACGATGGCATACTCCATTCGGGGGAGTCGTGCTCGGCAGAGCCTTGAACGGCGTCACTGTAGGATCTTGGAGATACTTCATGTAAGTCATCCACAAGTGGTGATCCATTTCTTGGTTGAAGGATGCTCTCAATCTTAGCTTCTTAGCAGGGCGAGGTTGTGGGGTAGCCATCGAAGGTGAGGCCGGACGTTGAGACTTGTTCGTGGGTGGGCAGAACGCGAAGGGGTCTGATGATTCGTCTTCTAGACTGGTGCAGCTGCCGCTTCGCGACATGAATGAGCCAATGCTATCGCAGGACGAGACAGACGAGTCTGAGAAGCCCGACGAAGAGGTAGGTCTGCTTGATGATTCACTCTGACTGACATGTGGGACGTCAGACCAGTCCTGAGGTCCTTCGTAGTGGCTGATGGTCCTCATCTGCGCAACAGGAGTCTTGGGAGGAGAGAGGATACGGCTGAAGCCGAATCCTGGAGACAGGAACGCGTCGTTTTGTGGCAGTGAGTATGGTGGCAGATCGCTCGAAGTTTCTGACATGATCTCGGGGGCCTCAATGGTTGGAATGGGTTGCTGGTTCATGACTGCGTCCATGCTGTCGTGGTTCAAGGCCATGGTGGCACGGCGACGACGGACCTTGAGCACTTGTCGAGGCGGTGGCGGCGGTTGCAGCTGTTCGGGTTGTGGCTCTGGCTCGGGTGTTTGTGGAGCCGGGCCGTCACGGTAATGGAACATGAAGTTCCTTGGTAAGGTAGTAGATAGGTTGGGGCGTTCGGCGTCCATGTTGCTAACGTATTGAGATGACCGGGATGTCGGGTGTTTCAGGATACGGTCGTCTTTGACCACACCAAGAGGTCAATCTCAAAGAAAGTGCAAGGAGGCACGACAGTTCAGGCACGACAAACGATTAATGCATCCAGTTCGAGCGTGGTCCGATTGTTGTCGGGTTGGTTTGATTATGCAGGGCGGTAGGTTCGATATGGCGCGGGTCCCAGCAGCTGTTTGGTACTCTGCGAACGCGACAGTGCGGCTGCAGGGAGGTTACACGTGCAATCAGGATCGAGTGCGGCTTGATAAAGCGAGCGTACTATCGCAAGGCGTCGCGCACTCTTAGATGCAGTGGCAACGGGCGTTTTCAGTGTTGCAGAAGCTCTACAGCCGAGGACAATGCACAAGAGGTCCTTGTGGTGAGGATGGCGCGTAGCTCCAAGTCGCGACAACAGCTTGCAACTGGCGAAAACGCGATTAGCAAAAGTCGAAGACGACGCGCAAAGGTCCAGAGACGGGTGCGAAGACGCGTGGATTATCGTAAAGGTGGATGATGGCGGGTTTTTGGCAAAATATGGGAGTCGTGGGTCGCGGTGAACGGTCCGGGTGCGTGGGCGGAAGGGAAGTGGGCGCCTTATTCCGCGTCCATGGAATGCGCAAGCGAAAGTCAAGATTCGTGAAAGACGTAAAGGAAACGGTCGTCAGGAAGTCGCGTGGCGCGCACGGGAGTGCGACGGGCGAGGTCGGCTCGGGATGGTCGTGAAAGTCGTGATGGTGAAGGTGATGTGCGGTGAGGTTCGCAAAAGTCGGCTGACGGTTGCTGCCCGGCTAGTGCGAGACAGCGGATGGGCTTAGACCAAGATCGTCGATAGAACCTCTGCAAACCCACCAAGTGCCCCGAGCCCCATACAAAATCAAACACTTCTCGTCCAACACTTTTTTTCAAGTCGCCCACACGAGGCGGCATGCGCTTCTGTGCCTTGGTCTGCGCACTACTCTGCCCTTTGTGCTTCCACACACCACGTGAAGCTGTTGCCGCAGACTCTCGATAACGAAACTGACGCGTTTCGACGCGCTCATCTCTCCCGGCCTAACCGCATCCAAGCTGCCATGGTCTGTGCAGTCATACCTTGACCGTGGCGCTCTTTTCGACGGCGGCCCCTGCATAGAGGCCTTGTTTTTCTGCAAGCACGAACACATGTCACGACTTTTCCATCCAGTCTCCCGCTGCCAACTCGCTGCAAGCTTGTGGGCGGTCTCGCCGCTTGCATAACGGCCACTCCCCGTTGTCTTTTGCTTTTCCTCCCCACTTCACCACATACACTTCTTCTGCACCGTCGTCGACTTGAACGAGCGACGACCAGCAGAAACCTGCCACCTATGCGCTACGCGACACACTACGCACGGCCAATGCCACACTGGAGAACCCCAATTCGCTACGACTCTAACCCTCTTCTCCACAGTGGAGCGTGGGCCTCTGCTTTACAACACAACAAATGCACGAGTCATTACTACATGGCTGGTCCATAGCCAATGCTTCGAGTCCTCTGGTGCATCGCACTATATGGCACGTCCCAATCAAAACCTGTTTCCCTCTAATACTGTGTTCTTTGCTGTCCGCGCCGCTGTTGAATTGACCCTGACAAGTTCGATCCCGTTTTATGCCCGCCCGGAGTTGGTGTGCCGCAACGTTATGTGCATACCGCGCTTGGCTGCGAGAAGGGTCTGGATCGGCTGCAGCTCGTCACACACCAATATCTAGCTATCCCGATATGCACGTGTCTTGCTCGATTCGGAAATACTGTCGACCAACAGTTCTGGGTTTTGATGTTTCATTGGCTGGATTTTGCTTTATTAAAGACTGCCGAGCGCCCTGAGGGTCTCAAAGTGGGCTCCAGCCGCTCAACACAGCACGAGGCCTAAAATGCAGCCCGTTCTAGGAAGACCATGGGCTTACTATGTGCATCCGACATCTTCAATAGTCGAGAATGCGGGGGTGTCATGCGCTTGCGAACATTATCGCAGCCCACTCACGCTGCCGAAAGACATGAGGCGATCATCGAGCATAATCAGCGAATCGGCTAATGAGGTCACGCTCTGCGACGTTTACGCCGCGCGTTAAAATGGCATATCTGTGTTAAATTGCATTAACCTGTGAAGAGAACATTGAGTCAAATGGAGAAGTCCCATGAGGTTCATATATTTTGAATTTTTGAAAGTCAAGAATGGTATAATGTCTGTTTCATACAGGTTTCTGCCATCGTGTAAGCCATGTCATTGCATCAATTCTCCCCTACTGTTCACGTCCCATATCAAGCCTCTATCTAAAGACCAAGAGCCGAGTTAAACGCATCTGCAGCAGCCTGACCTGTCAGTCCCGAAGCGGCAGACGCAGCATCATCACAGGTGCTGACAGCTGCAGCGTCTACGTCGCACTTGTTGGACATCTGTGAGCAGATGAACTGTGAGATGATGTCAATCTTCTGAGCAGACCCGTGGTTGAAGGTGCTCAGATCGGTGGGCTCGAAAGCCTCCTCCTGACGGCCATCCGAAGGAATACCAAAGGTGATGGTGGGGTCGCAGTTGCCGAAGGCGGCGGCACCAGAGGCAGCAGCGTTACCTGAGGCAGCGTTTCCAGAGGCAGCGTTGCCAGCGGCAGCATTGTTGTTGTTACCAGCGTTGGCGTTGTTACCGGCATTGGCGTTGTTACCAGCATTGTTGTTGTTGCCAGCATTTGCGTTGTTGTTACCAGCAGCAGCATTGTTGCCAGCGTTGCCCTTGTTGTTGCCAGAGTTGGCGTTGTTGTTACCAGCGTTGTTGTTACCGGCAGCAGCATTACCAGCTGCGGCAGTGCCGTTACCAGCAGCTCCACTGACACCAGCGACCGCGGCAGTAATCTCATCCTCGGTGAGATCATCGACACGAAGGTTCTGGGTGTTGATGCATCCTGCATCGTCAGTGTCGACGTCGCAGGTGTTGCCGGCACCGGTCGGGTCGCCAATCTCTCCAGGCGCGAAGGTTGAAGCTTCGTTGGCCATCGATGGATCACCACCGACTGAGGCGATCTGGCGAGCGAGCTCTTCGGCAATCTGCTTGTTGAGTGCCTGGGCGCCATCACTGGCAGGGTCCTGATGCTGCTGGAGCGCAGCAATCTCAGGGTTGACGGCCTTGATGGATTGGCAAGGAGCAGAGGCCAGACCGACGGAGCCAGTGTTTCGTTCCAAAGTACGGTAGATGAGAGCCATAGTCATGCCCGCGACATCACCAGCATCCTTGGCGTTGGTGAACGCCTGGTCAGCTACGGCTTGCTGAAGACAGTCTATTGGTAGTTAGTTTGATGAAGCTTGTATGCTGCGTTCCAAACAACTCACCCGTATCGGTGATGTCTCCGGCACCCTCTGCAGCAGCCTTGGCTCCAAGGAGAGCAAAGACACTATCTTGAATGTTGTCCGGGTTGTTCTGCTGAAGCAGGTCGTTGACAGCAAGGTTAACGTTGCGGTGAGCGTGTTCCTGAGGAACCTCACGCTTGGTCATAAGGGTCGGGCGGGCAGCCGCGACACCAATGAGGGTAAGAGCGATGACGGAGTTCTTCATGATGAATTCTTGTATCGTTTCTTTCGGTCGTGATCGTGAATAATAAACAAGAATAGGGTCTTAGTAGGATATATAACGAAAGTGGGCCGGCCTATCGATTCTCCAGGAACGATGAAAAGAAGGATAACGAAGTGAACGACTCGAAAGACGATGAATGAAAGACGTGTAGATGGATGCTGATGATGCTTTTTCATACAGCGCAAGGCATTGTGCCTTATATACAGGTTAAGTCCTACCAGCTATGCTATGGAGTCCTGCGCTTTGAAGCGTTGCCTGACACCTGTCAAGCAAGCCGCCGTAGCGGGAGCCGCCAGAGCTGACCGTGCATAGAAGCAGAACTGCATGAAGGCTACCCCTGGATGGAAGGTGAAGTCCCTTCGAAGTCGCTGCCGTGCAGCCTCGCGATGGTGGCGATGGCTCGCTAACCTTGTGAGGCGCGGAGGGCCGCTATGAGTGGATCCGCGCTAAGACTTTTGGGATTCCTTGCGTGCCTGGGTGAGACGTTGGCGACTCTTCGGAACGTCGTCTGCTTCATCAACCCCATCAACCACGTCGCTGCCTGGAGATCACGGTACATTTGTGTGAGGACGTCGCGCGCAAGTCGAAAACGTACTCTGCGCGTCGCAAACATGCTTCATCTCGGCGGCGCGCCCTCGCTTGCCTCCAGAACACGCGCATCAATCCTTTGAGCGCGACGGTATTGACATGATCACCAGCTAGCTGAATCGCTTTTCTACAGGAGCGCTCGCGACCGTCGTGATAGAACAGCCTCTTTGTACATGCCGTCCCGCCCCCTACCTCGGCCCCTCTACGACCTCCGCACCGGCCCATCGCATTCAGAGCACTAATAGATACCTTCAAGCGGGCAGAGGGGCCTTCCAGACGAACAATGGCAAACGATTCACTGTAGTACGGGCCACGGCATACGCTACGTGTATCATCAGAGCTACGGTTCACCATGGAAGCAGGCCTTCATAGCCGAGATTGTCCATCTGCAGCCGGCAGTTTATCATGAATGCTATGCAGTTGGTATTCGGAATGTCGTGTTTCCGACAAGCGACCGGTAACCTATGGGTATAAAACAATACCACGCCCATATGCCTTGTATGTTAGGGTTAGCCTTGTTGCGTTCTATTGCGTCATGGGCAATCTCCCGTGTGTTTTGGTACTGAGACGAGTCTGATAGCATCTGGTCGTATTACGCGCTCGCAACGTCGAACGTCTCAGATGACTCAACCCTGGGCAACATGATCTACTTCCAGGGTGCAGCCACAGCTTGAGTCTCAAAACGCTTTCGAAGCACTGTAGCCACATCATTGAGACTGTATACTCACGGGGTTCAGATCAAGTTCTCAAGACATTCCTGCCAGACGTACTGAATTGCGTCCCATCGTTGCCAAAGCTACTACGCATCCAAGCGAAGATTTCGTTCCTCCTGGGCTATAAATCGTCTTTGTAAGAAACAATAGAAACGGCCGACCTCTGTGGTTCTCGACATTGTTGTTGCTTGTTGCTAGTGTCGCATCCTCCGCTCCATCGCGAACCTCCTCGAAAAGACCCACACCCACTCGAGACGAACTGTATGCAACCGGTCAACACACGGGCATCAGGCACCCTGTGGCTCACCCTTTTCGTTGCTACCTCGCTGTGGCTGCATCAAAGTTATGGCCAAGACAAAAACGCTTATCATTTCAGGCCCGATGGATGCTAAACACATCGGTGGCGTGAACGTGCTGGGCGATAGCGGCTCGAACCTCGACAACTACTTTCCTAGCACTGCGATAGTGCCGGATGAGCGACCCTCGCATACCTTTGTTGCTATTGGAAGGACTGAAGTACCAAGGCGGTCAGATACCGTTGCTGGCACGCTACGACGACCGAGTGTTTCCTTGACCAGAGGCCTGTCTAGATTGAGGCGCAGCTCATCTTCGCATCATACTGAAGTAGCGCGCGGAGCTGGCGGAGAGCAACAGGTGCATAGTCAAATGGAGAATTCCAACAATGCAGGCAGGCCCTTACGGATGCAGTCGAGCATGTCGAAATTACGGCAGAGGGTTGGACTAGATCGCGAACTATACGATACAACGCCAATATCAAAGACGCCCACTCCTGAACCAAGACCTATACCAGAGCCGATGCGAAAAGATCACTTGCCACTGCAAGAAACAAGGACACTGGCGCGTCTCACCACGACCTCTTCCATCTACTCGACCCCAGATCTCGATTCTCCGAAAACAAGGACCCCACACAGACAACAACCTATCATTGTTCAGCGAAGACCTCCGCCCTTCGAACATCAGCTCCCAACCATGAATACGCAACTACCCGCGAGATCGAAGCGCGCAGATTCGGGTACTGCAATAGACTTCAAAGACGTGCCTGTGCAGGAGCGGCCAATCCCTTTCAAGGAGATAATGGCAACTCCAACTCTTGCTGAGCGTATGGCCATGTATAAGAAGACGCGCGAGTACTGGGCGCATGCAGATCACGGTTTGGTAGCATGGACGGAGCGTGCCGCGGGACCGAAGGTAGCCACTGCTGGACTTTGAACGGGGATACCTGTTGGTTCCGATGTCTTGACATTTTTATAGCTTAGCATGTGTCTTCATGAACGATATCCTAGTAACGTTTGGGGTGGTCATCCATCCATAATTTACAACTGGCGCCGGGCGCCTTACTTTGCCTTGGTACTTAGTTTCCACAAATCATGATAGACTTAGCGCTTTCACCAGCATACCCCCTTACAAAAAGATGCGTTTTCTCGCAGCTGTGGTGTTGGTGATAGAAGTGGTTAGGTCCTGGGCCGTGCATGGATTGCAGTTGTCGAGCTCTGCAAGCGGCCTCTCACATCTTTTGGGTCCGAGACATCTTACCGACAGCACCGAAATCATCGCAGCATACCATGCGCCTGGACCTTCTCATCAAAGGAAACTCTGATCCACACAGTCTGAGATGTTCCATGTATTCCGTAGCCCCCGCCCTATGTGGCTTATCTGTCTACAACTGAGATGTTTCTATTGGATTGACGGAATTCTTATACCGGTACGACCCACTGCATCCATAGGTACGGAGAGATGCCTCGTGTATTCTGGTAATGCGCGTATCAAGGGACTTTTGATTTTCGCTTCGCACGAATACCCCGTTTATTCAAACATTTTTCGCATTCAAAATCTCTACTATTGCTCTTACGCGATCTTTTTCTGACCATTTCTTATCATTCCAAACTGGGGACAGAAAAGTAGGAGATACCGAGTGGCTCCTTCGTCGGCGAGACTTACATGATCTAGGATCCTGCACGATTCCAAACTCCATTCCTCACGGATGTTTTCTTCCATCCCAGAAATCCAATAGGGTGAACAGAAGGCTAACCCTAGAGAATGTTGCGAATCTTGGATAGACTCAGACCAAAACGGAAACGCCTGCACCGGTTTGCGAATCTCAGCCCTGAGATTCTGAACCTCATCATCGAGCTTCTGTGTAGCGACGGCAAACACCATATCCTTAATGTGTGTCTAGTCTCTCGCGGGCTTTACATCTTTGCTGTATTCTATCTGTACCGCAACATCACGCTCGATTTCTCGAGAGCATCCCATTCTCGTCTACTGCAGCGATTATCGGCACCTAGGTGTCGACTTGCAGAGAGAATCCGGACTATCGTCATTGTCGACACCGCAAAACAAGATATACTACAATGGGACGACCTCTGCGTCATGTTCAGTAGGCTTACGTATCTACAGGAGTTTACGTGGATTGGCCCTCTACGAATGCCGTACTTTCTCCTTGAGTTACTGGCTTCTCGACACCCAAAAGCACGTCTGAACATTACCGCCTGGAAACCCACCACTACATTTCGGTCAAACTTCGCTCGTATAAATGGTTATGTCATGGTCCATCCAGCGGGTCTTCAGCTAAACAAGTTCGTGTACCGCTACGATGGTGCACAGAGACTTAGCCCTGACTTCAAGAAAAATCTTCTTATGTCTTTGAAAGACAAGGCCACACTATCGGGTTTGACTATCATCAACTGCACTTCATCTGAGGTCAATGCATTTCCAGAAATGTTGGATCTTTTTCGCAACAGCAGCTTCCGTTGTACCGAAAAGCTAGTGCTACATACGTCCATCTTCACGTGCCGTGAGTTGTCAGTGTGGGCTTCGAGGGGAGAATGGGACCGGCTTACCTTTTTGCATCTACAACACGCCTCTTTACTTCGTAAGTGGTTCTATACTTATGTACAAACTCTCTATGGTCATGCGCTAATACAAACCGTTAGACCACTTTATTGGGAAAACTCCTCATCTGAAACATCTCAGCTTTCAGTTCGATCATAGAATGAATACTAGTGAGACTGGAACTCAGCTAGTCACGATATTAATGAGCAACCCTCTACCTGAGCTACGTCGTATAAGTTATGGCATTTATGGACAACATCTAGTACCTCCTCCTCTCATCCGTTGCGCCCCCTGGGACATATTGCCAATATACCCTGAAATCAGGGAGCTGTACTTGACTCGAGAATGGGATTGGCCACGTGGGATTACATCGCTATACGCGCCAACTGCGGACGATATGCGTAGGATTCGGACACTTTGTCCCATTCTATTGAGACTCAGGCTCACCATCGACGTACCAGGGGAGCGTTCAAGTTTCGCGCTCGTTGTGGAAGAGCTTGCTCGATTTCAGGAACCCATCGATCTGGTACTGCACTTGCGGCTTCCGTACAAACATTCGAAAAGCTATCAAAACTACTGTATGAGATGCAAGAAAGTTTTTCTACTCATAGTATTGCGGCGCAAACTTCTAAAACTTCCATGCGAAAAACCTTTTCAAATCTGCTTCCAGGCTCTGCGGATAGATCAAGAGTCGCCTGGAACATGGGTCAACTCAGAGTGTACCGTCTGGCTCAACAGTGCTGGGTGGCTAGCTTCGAGCGGATGCAACGTTAACAAAAGAGAGAAGCTAGACAGAATGTCAACTATTGACCTTGAAGAGATGAGCAAGGAGCAATCCCGATTGGAACGATACCGGGATAGCAAAGGATACAGGCAAGAACTAAAAAGGCGGGAGCGGAGCCTTGGTACAAAGTTTGGCTTTTCTGAAGATTTCACCTTGCACAATCTTTGGGGGCTGGATGGAGAATTGGAAACGAACAGTGCGTGACGATGCTCAAGCCATGTGTCGTTCTTCTTGGTACTCATAAGGACTGTCATAATCGAGATCTTCGCTTGTCGTACAAATCGCCGAGTTCAGCTTCTGGTCGTGAATTTGTCAAAGAGTCAAAGCGTTTGTGTGAGCTTTCACCTAGGTAACAAGCCTTGGCGCGAGCGAGACAGTCTTAGAACGCCTTCGCCTTACTTAACAACAACAAAACTATCATTTGAACTAGCTTCTGCGATCAAGTCCGACATCAGCGACAGCCAACCATGAAGCTCAGACGCTCGGAGAAGCCCCCACAGCCGACGCAGGCCCATCGTTTGGAGCAACAAGTCAATGAGATTCTCAGTCTAATAATCTCCAAAATACGTTGCCAGAGTATCCAGGACGTCGCAAATCTCTCTTTGGCTTCACGCCAATTCTACATTCTCGCTGTTCCCCACCTCTACCGAAAGATTACCCTAGACTTAGATCGAGCCTCACACCTCCGCTTACTCCAAAGGCTTGAACGACCGGGATCTCATGTACCACACATGATTAGACATCTTCATTTGTGTCTGGAGGGAAAGCATGCCGAGCATATATCCAGGATCGAGAAAGTGTTCGCTGGATTGACTAACCTGGAAGAATTGGAGTGGGAAGGGCCATTCAACGTGCCGGTCCACTTGCTCGATGCGCTTTACTCGCGCTTTCCAAGGGCTCGATTCTCTATAGAGTCGAGTCGAGTGGCTTACAAGAGCAGTGAAACTGGCATTTCGCCGCTATGGGGTATGGATCTCTGGACCAAGCACCCCGCAGCCTCCATGATCACTCACCTGCGCATCACTCTGGATGAAAAGTCCCCAATCTGGCCCGGCTTCAAGAGAGGGCTGGTTCGTACGATGATCAGAGATCCTGTTCTTGAATTCCTTCAACTTGAGGCGAACGAAGTGATCGACAACCACTCTAACTCGACGGTGGATCTCATGAAAGGGCATGTTCTGCCCAAGTTAAGAGTTTTAGGCTTGTTCGTAGGGAACTCGCCCATCTTTACACAAGACGAGCTACTATTTTGGGGCGACCAAGCAGGCTGGGAGAGTCTTACGTTTCTCGGACTGTATCATACTCAGTCTTTCATCCCTTTCGTAGGGCGAACACCGAATCTAGAGGAGTTGTGGCTTCTTCCTCTAGAGGGGGAGGATACCACAGGTTTAGATTCGCATCTAGCTGGATTCAAAGACTCCTACCCGTTCCCAGCACTTCGCCAACTCAAGGCTCGATCTCCCTGGAGAGATATCGCCCTGTCACAACAGAATGACCGTGTTATCCCCTGGTATCTGATCAACCGACTGTCACCAGAACACCTTACGTCCCTAGATTTGTCTCGTTCTTCTCATCGCGACCAGGACGTAACGGATGTACCTCAAGCTGAAGATATCGCCAGAGTTCGTGCCATATGCCCTAATCTACAAGATCTGCGCTTGGACATGATTATACCATGGAGTCACGAGCCGTTCCCACGCGATATCGCAAAGGAACTAACCGCATTCACCAAACCTATCAGTTTGACAATCTACTTACATGTTACTCGCCATCCTCACCTTGGGACAGAAGCTCTGTATCTTTGGATCGCACGCGGCTTGCGATGGTGTTTCAGGTCTTCGTTCAAGATAGCGCGGTGCTTTCTCAAGGAGCGCGAAAGCCAAAGGATCCACGGCCAACCTCGATTCTCTGTCAACATCATATGGGCCAATGATGTGTTTGCGGAGAACGACTCAATCAGGTCTGCCCATTTCCACATATGCACTGTTGAGACGCACCAGGACGTTTCACGCTCTCACAACGAAATATTGTTCAAGCACGCTACTTCAAACAAAGACATCGAGAAGATGAGTTTGGATCAGCTAAAAGACAGAACAAAGCCACGACTCGGGAATATTGTTGGCGGTCGAGCACGTTATCTTCGCGAAATCAGACGCCGCGAGAATCTTGATGACGTCGGAACAGGGGCCTACGAGATAGACGCCACACTCTACGACATTCTGACTGCGTCAGATCCAGTGTAAGTGAAGCCTGGCAGCGAGCGCGATGTATGTCCATGTCTAAGGTGTATGTAATTTACTTGAACAATCTCTAACGTCTTCTTCTACATGTTTGCCAATCGCTTGAGTTTCTTAGTTTGCAAAGTAAGACATCCAGGTAAGATATAAAGAACAACTGAACCCAATGATACCAGAGTCAACACAAAGGTACTCTAATGTTTGGACAATCTGATTACATGAATGAAATGATACTGGGAAATGTCTCGCGCACCTGCACAATTGTAACCACAAACCAACTCGCGTCAAGCAGTACCTAATATGTATAACATGTCTACTAGAACGATTGTGCTCATCGTAACAGCTGCTATCTGCTGCAGATCTGTCTCGCTAGGTTCGCTATCCTAGATCACAACATACGCATCTACCCGACTATCAACGCTGCCCAGCGCATCATCGACCAGCACTGAAGATGTGTTACATCCTCCTTTCGACTTGTTCTGCTCACTCATGCTACCCACCTCACAGATGCACAAACGTCCTGCGTATGCGATACACACAATGCAGTCATGCAATCATACATAGTCTAGACCCAACAAGATGCCCAAATCGGATGAAGAGACGCCGGGTTAGCGACCAAGGAGAGTGTAGGATGTGCCAGGAAAGACGGAGTAGCTTGAGCGTGCTACCGAGGAAGAGCTTGGTAGACAGTTTCGCGAAGCTTGAGAGCTTGAAGCGGAGGACGAGCAGTGCGGTGGTGGAACGAGATGGGGATGAAGGCGGAGGAACTGAGGGGAGTGCAGATGCGATGACGATATCTGTGACTCCCAAATTCGAGCGAAGGAGTTCAACGCTGCTCATCTACGTGGAGAGAGAGAAGATACTCGATTTCGAGATCCTGAAGCAGCAGCGGTTACAGCCGAGGAAAAGAACAAGAAAGACACGCGCAATCACAAAGCCACGAGGAAGGCTCATCGAAGCACCAGAGCACACAGAACTTCAAAGTTGAAGAGAAAATACCATTACACCAACTACTAACCCAAAAACCCGAATGCAAGTACATAAGATCCAAAAGCAGGGGAGAAGCGGGGTATACTAGAATGGTGCGAGCAAGGAGCGAGACAAAAAGCCCATGACTGACGCTCCTCACCCACAATATGTGTATATGTGTATGCTCATTCCCTGTCTTGTCTGATATCCATTCCTCGTTCCTTCATTTGCTTTCCATTAAGTCGTACATCCGTCTATCGTCATATCCAAAGGGCATCCACCGGAGAAGTACTTACATGAAACGTCTGTTTAACAGGGAGGACGGCGCCAGTTCTACTGCGTGTTTTCCTGGTTCTGCGGTGGGTTTTGACCGAATAGACCACCGAACCAACTTGCGCGGTTGGCTGCCTTGCGCGCCTTGCTGGCTTCTTCTTCGTTCTGGACCAAGCGTAGTGGCCTCATACCTTTGCCAGTCATAACACCAGTGCTAGTGTCGCTGCGCGTCAACTGGCGAGGTGGGCTGGGTGTATCGACGTGGCTCGCAGAAGATGACTCTGTCCTAGCGTCGACTTCCTTGTCTTCAGGTATGGTGGGACCTTGGCCGGAAGGTACCCTTGAAACCGGATTGCTAGATCCAGGGCCAGTGCTGACAGGCAGACCGAAGAAACTGTTGCGAGGCGATACCATCCCAGGCGATGCGGGTGAAGGGCGGTACATGTTGTTGACCACGCCTGCGGCTCCCGGTACGTCGGAAGTGGAACGGCGGTGGTGGTGAGAACCGCTGGGGTGGCGACCAGATGTAGAGCGCGTGAGGGGGATACGTGGAGCCGTATTGGGGTCCTCGTGCGCGCTCTGCTGGTTGGTGACCGGAGGGGGGCCCATCACACTCAGAGGTCTGGGCTTTTTGTTTCCGCCCATGGCGACAGATTTAGCGCGCTGGAGGAATCCTTGTGGCTGGTCGCTCTCCTGGGGAGGAGGCGGTGGCAGATCTTTGTTCTTGTCTGGACCAGAGCCGCGATCGTTCTCACCGTCGTTACCCAGGACTGACTCAAAGCCCTGATGTGTGAGCAAGCGACCGATGATCTTGTTGATGTAGAGGGTAAGGGCTTGGTTCTGCGCCTTCATGCTGTTGACTTCAGCCTCGAGCTTGCGAACGACTTCAGCATCGCCTTCCTCGGCCGACTGAAGCTCATCAGCTAAGCTGGTTGAAGGGCCGCTCCTGCTCGGTACGCGGTCGTCGGCGTTGGACGTCTCGCGAAGGAAGTCGCCGCGGCTCAAGTCTCCGTTGAGCGTCTTCTCTCCCAGTAGAAGCTGGAAGCTCTCGTTGTCTTCCATAAGCCTAGCATTGGTCATGCGTGTCTCGAGCAGTTGCTTCTCTAGTTCACGCATACGTCCGCCTCCAGCGTTCTCAACTTCCAGCACCTTGACCTGATATTCGGCGAGCTCGAGGCGCAGATCTTCAATGATCTTGTCCTTCTGGTGGATGAGCTTTGAGTTGTTTCGCGAGTTGCTGCGTTGGACCGAGTTGGGAGGTGCAAAGGATGCGACGTTCTCGAGGTTCTGCGAGGAATTGGAGCGGGATGGGTTATTGCGGAAGCTTGCTGCGAAATGTGTTAGTATGTGCATGGCTACCACGTTGATCTGGCGGGAGTTGTAGCTTACAGGCCCGCGACAAGTGCTGCTCCTCTTCGAATTCTCCAGTGGGCATGTTCTTTGTGGCCATAGTCTCCTTGAGGCGCTGGATGGTGCTCTGCATTTCTTCCTCCCTCGACTGCGTCTCCTCCTTCTCCTTCATCACCTGTGCCCTCTCGGCCTCGTAGATGCCTTCGAGCTCGCGGTGTTGGCGCGTAAGCTCCCGCTTCACATTCTCCAGCGACTCAACCTTCTCCTCTTCTTCGTGCGCACGTTCCTCGAGCTTGGCCTGCTCGGCAAGGGCATCGTCAAGGCGAGAATTGAGGATCTCGACCTGCTTCTGTCGCTCTGCCGCCTCGTTCTCTGCCTTCTGTAGGCGGTCCTTGAGCTCCTGTAGCAGCGCGGCTTGCTCCTCCCTGGCGTCGTCGTCAGCAGCGTCGGGCTGCGAGGCGTTGCTCAGATTTGAAGATGCGGCGGGCTTCTTGACGGCCGCACGCGCTGAAACGGGAGTGCCATTGGCGCCGCCACGGACAGATCGTGTCCTTGAAACCCCACTGGTGCCATTTGTAGTGGGCGTCGAGGAGCGGGCTGGCGTGCGGTTCGCAGCTGCAGGGGACGACGAGGTGGTTCTAGTATTGGCTTCGCGACGAGGCGTGCCTGGTGGCTTGGTTGCTGCTGCGGCCGACATGTTGTTTGTCTTTTCTTTGTCCAAGGTAAAGCGAGTCCCAGAGACTCGGAGTTGGCAACGTCGCTCAAACAAGGGCGGGTTGCACAAGGAGGTCCAATTATAGCGCGATCAACCACCGGTATGCGCCGTAACGTGTGCTGATCAATGGGGCTGTGTGGCGCTGATTGACGTGTGGAGCGGAAACGTTCAGCTGTGACTGTGAAGCTTGTTCTGCGACTCGCAACGTTTACGGGTGCAAAACGTCAAGTCAGGAGTCGAGCAGCGTTATATCAATCCAGTCGGGGTCCCGCCGTTAAAGTTGGCCCATAATCTCCGCTACCTTGTCCTTCCCTGCATTAGTGCCAAGTCCACCCGCCATCACACGACTTGCTGTAGGCCGGGAAACCACATCCCCTTTGATTTGCCGCACGCCAGTCAATTGTTTACTAAAGTCATTGCGCTCTTTCACTGCCTTCTATGTCCATGTTGCTGCTTTGATGTCCAACGCCTGGTGTTTTCGTGGTATGTTGTGGCACGTGCGAAGTGTCATTGCCACGAGGGTCCAGGGGAACTTCCCGTCTTCCCTGTTGCGTCTCACCTGGACATGCATTCGCTAAGCACGTGAATATCTAGATGATTGTACTAAAAGCAAATGCTCTCAACGAAGCTCGTTTGAACAAGTTGGTCAGGTCAAAGGTACTGGTCATCTCACAATTTGCGAAATGAATTAAGGATTCGCACCTTCTTTAGCAGGCTGTCAAGAAGCTGCCGCACAGCTTTCTTCCTTGTATCAATTGCCGGAAGCGAAGATGATGGAATTGTCTACGTGGGACATATAAGTGGGCAGGAAATGGCGTTCAAAAAGAGACGGCTACTTTGTTTATTCCGCCATCCGATAAGCAACTCCTCAATATGTGCGCCTGTCCCAATGACATCCTTGAGGGTACCAGCATACCGCTATCACGACTATCCCCAGGAGACTCCGAAATACGTATGTTTCTCAGGTGCCTATCAAAGGGTCTAAATTACCAAGCAAGCCTTCCAATTGGTGTCGACCATTTACACGGGCGCCTTGGTCAACAGTGAAGTAGTAATTGGGTCCTGGGGCTGTCCGAACATACTCTTCAGGCAAGGGCTGTACGCTGTCTCTCCAGGTATATTTCATAATGAAGACTTAGTGCTGGGAAAGATGGCAAGGCTGGAGCGCAGCCAAAGAGGCCGGAGGATGAATGCGAGGGAAAGGGCCGTTCAGGGAAAGAACCAGACCACCGCATGGTTAGAGTAACCATCACAGACACGTGTGTACGGTCAGATATTTGTGTAGTAGTCGAGTACATACATAAGATAAAGGTAGCGAGAGGGTGGCGTAGTGACCGAGACCTGAATCATGGAGTTGGGAACAGAGATGGTAATAGAGACGTAAACATACAGGTACTCTTCTCTCAACCTCTCTTCCATCAACAAGACTGATATTAACATCTGCTTACAACCTACTTATCTAATACCCTCAGTTGATAACGCCAAAGTCAGCAGTATCAACATCCACTTCACTGCCTCCGTATGCGCAGCTGGTTCGCGCATACACAAGTTACCTACTGTTGTGAATGACAACATGTCGTTTGCCCATCAATGTATAGGTAAAGAAGATCTGACCGTCGTGTTTGTACGAAGAGAGATTGCGTCGTACATGGCTCAAATATCGAACGTTCTGTTTCAAGTTGACTATGTTTCCCATGTTCGACATGCTAGAGGTTTCTAAGGCATCTTTAGGAGCACATGTGGGCAACGTATGCGCGGTCCGCTCGATGACCAGACTCGTTGTCGTGACGGTGAAGCAAACTTCTCATATAGTCTCCGCGGCACTGCTACAAGTACAGGACTGGGCTTGGGATGATCGCAAATGAGTCATGATGAGACACGCGACACTTCTTGCAACGCATCGACCTAGGCGTAGGCACCAATAGTTCGGTGCGTCATCCATCGTCGATGCCGGGAATTACGGTATACGTGCTGTCGCGCGATGAATCTACAAACTCCTTGAAGACTGTCTGGCAATAAGCCGCTGCATCTTTGAGATATGTACTCGCAACAGAAATAGAGGGCGGCTGAAAACGAATGCTTCAACTGTGAAGTCGTTGTGCCAGACGTGTTCAGCACATTTAGCGGTAGCAGCAGAAAGCTGCCACGGGAATAACCTAAATTCTGTAAGCCTTGGCGATGGATGTTCGCAGATGCGAGAGCCACAGCCATGTTGGAACAATGGGAAAAATTCCGTAGCCGTATCTATGGTCATCGTGTTCCATCAGCTGCGAACTTTGTTTTGGATGGTGCATTGAAGCTGGTCGTGTTTCGGTGGGCATCGCAAAACGACTAGTGAAGCGCACGTGACCGTCTTGGCACTCTAAGCGATCACACGCGCCAGCGAATATTCTCAGTCCTTCCAACGTCAAAGGGTGCCGCGACTCTCGATACTAACCACCAGGACAACCAACCCGCCAAAATGTAAGGAATTCCGATTGCATACCCTCCAGCATGGCTTCGAAGAGCTCTCCCGCACCCGCAACAGCCTTCCCGACTCGCCGCTGTGCTCAATAGGCGCTCGAGACGTGGCGAACCCCTCTTCCCACGACAGCACCTTCCATCGCATATCACCGTACAATTGATCAAAATACTGACCCAGCGTGTTTCACAGGGTCAACCTCCGCACTCAGAAGCGCCTCGCGGCCTCCGTGGTCGGTTGCGGAAAGCGCAAGATCTGGCTCGACCCCAACGAGACCAGCGAAATCGCCAACGCCAACTCCCGTCAGACCGTCCGCAAGCTCGTCCAGGATGGCCTCATCATCCGCAAGCCCGTCACCATGCACTCGCGTGCCCGCGCCCGGGAGCTGACCGCCGCTCGACGAATTGGTCGCCACCGTGGTTTCGGTAAGAGGAAGGGTACCAAGGACGCTCGTATGCCAAGGTACGCAATCACGATACCACGACCACAGTGGACTCGGGGGAGTCTCCTTGTGGGAGATCAAGGATGATGATGGAGACTGTTTGCTGACGCGGATGTCTATAGCCAAATCGTCTGGATGCGCCGTCTCCGTGTCCTCCGCCGTCTCCTCGTCAAGTACCGTGCCGCCGGAAAGATCGACAAGCACCTTTACCACGAGCTGTACCACCTGTCCAAGGGTAACACCTTCAAGCACAAGCGTGCTCTCGTTGAACACGTACGTTGACCATGACATCATGACTATGTCAACCCCGCTCAGAGTTCGGCAACTAACATGCACCACAGATCCACAAGGCCAAGGCTGAGAAGGCCCGCGAGAGGGCTATCCAGGAAGAGATGGACGCCAAGCGTGCGAAGACCAAGGCGGCGAGGGAGAGGAGGCAGGAGCGTGTCCAGCAGAAGCGTCAAGCTCAGCTGGGCGACGAGGAGTAAGCACGGGATATCATGATGAACACCTGGCGTGGGTCTTTTCAAGGTTAAAGGAGGGCGTCATTCTCCTTTTTATCTGGGCATATGCGGTCATGTTTCATGTTACGTCTGTGAAGGACTCTTCTCTCCATGCATACTCGACCGACAAGGCTGCCCCCGCTCTGATCACCGATGCTATGAGTGTACCAAAAAGGGAAATGAGCATCGGAATTAGAAACCAGTAGTCAAACTTGGAGTTGGTCTGCTTTCATGCATTGTTTGCGTTTACGACAATCGTGATGATACCTGCTCCAACGGTTCTCGTCTCTCAAACCAATTACAGCACGCATTCTAAAAGCTCGCGAATTTCCAAATATCCTTGCCATAGACGCCATACACCCTTTTACCTGCTCAGGGTATCAAATAACCAGAAGCGCCTTGTCCAAACACCATGTGCAGATCCAACCTAGGTCGGGTTGCTTTGCCATTAGATCTATGTCATGTTAGCACACTTCCTCGCCTGCTGTACTGCGTTACTTACCAGCTTCAGCGCCGCCCTGTGCACATTCCTCGTGAAGTTGAGCATGGCCTTGGCCTTGTTGTTACCCCTCTGCAGCCTTCTGTAGCCCTCTTGCACATGACTTGGCTGCACTGGCTCCCTGGCCTCCTCAGGCGGATCAAACAGACCCCTCTCCCTCTTTCTCTTGAGTCGGTTCTGCTCGCCACCATGGTTCTTCTTGTACAAGTCTTCTGCATCCTTGACTTTGAGTGCCTCTTCTGTAAGCGTTTGCACAATCTCAAATGTCAAGAAACCCAGGATATCGATGATGTCGTCGGAAGGTTTAGAATCGGTGATAAGGCCGAAGCCTGCCCACTCCTTGAAACGCTTGCCTTTGCGGTAGGTGAAGGATGCTTGACGACAGTCGGACCAATGGACATATTCTTCACGCGTCATGTTCTTGGTACGTTCGTCTGCATTCTTCAAGCGCTGCAGGGTGGCATAGTTCATCTCCTCTTCTTCCTCGTCTTCAACATCGTCTTTTTGGGGTGGGAATTCGGTGAAGAAAGATTGTACGTCCCAGACTAAGTCGACCTTGGCGCGTTTGGCTTTCTTTGACGCATCGACGGGGGCGGCGCCAGGACCACCTGCGCCTACTACGCCTGCAGCTATGTCTGCATCTCCAGCTCCCACGTCAGCACCGGCATCGCCTCCTTTGTCATCTGAGTCTTTGACGGAACGACGAACGTCTTTCCATTGAAGGAAGTGTCGTAACCGGGAAATCTTTGCGCGATCGTGGCGAATGAGCATGAAGAGGTCGTCTGTGGATATAGATTTGCTACCGCGGCGTGTAGCTAAAGCCGTGCACTCTCGCAGCATATGCTGCACTTGATCCTGCACGATGGATTCAATCAGAGTAGTCGTTTCGGGAGATGGTTCGCCAGTTTCGCCGGAGACGAACATCATCTGTGGGATCGTTAGATTTAGGCCAACTTCGAACGGAAGTAGATCCTCCGGCGATTGAGGCCGAGACATGGTGGGCGAGGATGTGAGAAAGAACACGACGATGGCTTCTCGCAGTATGGGTAGGGGCAGGAGTTTGAGTCAAGGAAACGTGCGGGTGACACAAGAGCCATGGGCATCTTGTGGATGAGCTTTTTGGCGAGCTCGGTTGTAGTTCTACTATTTGTGATGGTAGATGGGATGATTGTGGGTGAAGTAGAGAACGGGCCATGTTGGCTCTGTCCTTAGAAGACGAATCTTAGACGAGAACAACGAGCCTTGCACACCACATCCCGCAGCATAGACTTCTTCAAAGAATAGAAGAACAGAAGCGACCCGGAAGGGATGATCATTCGAACATTGACTTGAGCGCAGAGAAGTGGTCGGCTGAACAAAAAGGGATGTGTAGGTAGGTTATAGTAGAGGACAGCGCAGCCCCAAGTTGGACTGACCGAAACCTCATTTCTTGCTTGATGAAAGCACCGAAACAAAAACACGAAGAGAGTATAAGAAAGTACTTATAAGGAAAGGCGATTGACTAACCTGTTGGATCTCCGTCCGGTATTTGGCCATCTTATCCTTGTCCGACATGGTGTCCTATTCCGTACTCTTACAACTCCTACAATCATACAAAGCGCGTCGCCGACCTCTTCCAACTACAAAATACCGAGACTTAAACACAAGAGGCGTTGGATGTTGCGATGGATGTGAATGGAGTCCGAGGCTGGCACGCGGTTTGCGGTCTACTAGCGCGATTTCAGACGATGCCTGATGCGACAGTCCCGATGGCCCGCGCACGCTCGGCCCTACCACATGCAAATCAGCCCCGCCCAACTTTTTGTGAATTTGGAGTCAACCCCACCACCCAACATTCACCACACGCGCCACATTCGCCCATCATGCTCTATCTCGTGGGTCTCGGCTTGGCGGATGAGAAGGACATCACAGTCAAGGGCTTGGAGATTGTGAAGAAGGCAGAACGCGTCTACCTCGAGGCGTACACGGCGGTTCTGCTGGTAGAGAAAGATGTGCTTGTGAGTTGAAGATGGAGAAGATGAGTGAGGCATTAGGAGACTAATTACCACGGCAGTAGGAAGCTTTCTATGGCCGGGAAGTCATTATAGCCGACCGTGAAATGGTCGAGTCGTCCAGCGACGACATCCTCAAAGATGCCGACAAAGTCGACGTCGCGTTCCTCGTAGTGGGAGACCCATTCGGGTATGATCCTTCATCACTACATCTCACGCCTAGCTGATTGTTCTGTAGAGCGACCACTCACACCGACCTCGTCCTCCGCGCCCGCGAACTCTCCATTCCCACCCGCTCCATCCCCAACGCCAGCATCTTGACCTCAATTGGCACAACGGGTCTGCAACTCTACAACTTCGGACAAACAGTCTCCATGGTTTTCTTCCTTGACAACTGGAAGCCTGCCTCGTTCTACGATCGCATCAAGGAGAACGTCTCCATCGGCCTACACACACTCGTCCTCCTCGACATCAAAGTCAAGGAACAAAGTATAGAGAACATGGCGCGCGGACGCCTGATCTACGAGCCGCCGCGGTACATGACAGTGGCGCAGTGTGCACAACAGATGTTGGAGATTGAGGAGGATGTCAAGCAGGAAGGTGCCTACACAAAGGACAGTCTGGCTGTGGGTGTCGCGCGGGTGGGCGCTGAGGACCAGCAGATTGTCGCAGGCACCTTGGCACAGCTATGTGAGGCAGATCTGGGAAAGCCACTGCATAGCTTGGTACTGCTGGGTCGGCGAACACATGACCTCGAGAGAGATTTCCTTGAGGAGTTCGCCGTGGACAAGGAGAGCTTCAGGGAGGTGTGGAAGAGGGACTATGAGGGCAAGCAATGAGCGTGTCAACATGCTGTCGTCTCCCTACGCTATTAAAATCTAGCAACATCTGTCAATGCGCCTGCATAGACACCTGAAGACAAACAACTCTTTTGGCATGTGCTAATGTTTCATTCGCTATCACGAACATCTTGAACCGTCCCTGATTAACCAAAGTCATGCTGGGGTATCATATGCAAATCCATAACGCAATCCTCATTCCTTCTTGTCTTTCCAACTCTTCGCAGAAGCTTACAACTTAGGCTCTGCTTCGTCATCCTGCTTCTCTCCATTCTTCTCGCTCTGTCCGTCTCCAGTCTTGGTGCTCTTCTCAGTACCCTTTGCTTCCTTCTTATCATCATCAATCCCTCCATCGTATTGTCTCGCAATCGGCATAGCAGGCAGAATCCCACTGGCAATGGCATCGAGGTCCGAGGGCATGCAAGTCGCTGGTGAGGTATACGGGCCTGTGCTATCGTGCTCTGCGCTTAGGCTCTCGACTTTCGTTTCGGCCCATGCGATGGCGGTGTCGACTGCTGACTTGACGCTTTGGGCGACCTCTGAAACGATGGTGGTGGCTGTAGGGATCGGAGTAGTCGGGTTGTCTTCGGTGGAGCCATCCGATGCTGATGCTGAGGATTCGAAGGTCTTACTTGCGGTGTCTGGCTCCTCAGTGACCTGTGTCTGGTATGGTTTAACCTGGAATTCGAGTAGCAGTAATCTGAGAGCATACCTGCTGCCGAGCGGGTGATCTCGTGTCTGATGACGTTTCCCCTTCCTTCTGAGCTGCAACAGCGTCCAGCGCTTTCGGTCTCATTGTTTGTGTGGTGAGTGCGTCAAGTGCCTCTGATTTCATTTTCGCTGTCAACCAACAATGTCAATCGTCTCGATTGGTGTCCTTGAACTTGCTGCTGCATTAATCGCGCGATCTTCCCAAAGTTTAGATTGTTTGTGTGATTGAGTGACAGATCAGGCAGCGATCTTTCCACGTTCTCTCAAGACGGCTCATTATCTGTTTGTTTATTTGTTTGTTGGTGAGACTGGCTGTGCCGCTCTCTCATATATTGTATGGCTACCAAGGTAGGCCCTTGAGTTTGTGTAACTAGAAGCGACGTCATGGCGAAGGCAGCGCGAGACAGCGCGTTGTCAGTGCAGAAGGACGGTGCGATCACGTCTCTTCATCGGTATCTGTAACGTAATTACTGCTGACCTGTCATTCCTTCATTTCCAGGCGAACTCTGGACCGAGTACCGTTGTCACTGACGGAACCTGCATTATTTCTTCATGGTCTTGTTGTTATTATGAAACCAAAGAATGACGTACAGTGGTTAAGTTCCACAGTATCGGAGTTCCTTCCAACTTGCCATATACAGTAAGTATGTTAGTATCTGACCCTAGGCTATAGTCGTCATGTTTAGTGTTTGCATCTCTTAGTTGCAGAGCTTGGTGCATCAACAGCCTTGTAATGAGAGGCTATAATAGAATAGTCAGAGCGTACAACATGGCTTTGCTTGGGTCATTTGACATCTGCCGCTGCATGACGCAGGTAATAAGCCTTGCCCTGACTGTTGGCAACACCCATCTTGAACCCTCCTGCGCCTTGCATCTTGCAACTCTTACCTTGCTAGAGGCAACGAAGACGACCTCCTGTCGGCCGATCCACTAGTGGCTGTCTGAACCCCACTGCACGCCATCGAACGGTAGTCAGATTCAGGAACCCACCGGCTATTCATTTTGCACGCAAAAGGCAGACGTAGATAGCATGAGACACAATCGTCAGCAGAGAGCATCCTGGTCGTATTGACCTACCGAACGTCTGCCCCATCATGTGGCGCATGACTGGGGTTCAACCGCTTGAAGCGCAGATCAATAACATGTTTCTAGTACACATCTTCCTCATCTTCTAGAAGCTTTTTCTTATTGGTCGCGTGTTCACAGGTCATCCAGCTCGTAGGACCAGCTATACGAGAATAGACATCTCCGTGTCTTGGATTCGCGCCATGACAATCACTACGCCGCCTCAACTCAGCGTTGAGTTAGTCGATAAGAGCGTTTCTATACACGGTGTTGGATCGCCGGCACCTAGCATAATCGAAGGCAGTCAAGTCCAAGGAAGCAGTGCCGGAGACAGCAGCTGATTTGACTGGTTGGAATCCCAGCCGCTGTGTGCCAGTGTCCACTTGTTCTACGGCTCCTACAGGTACCTTGGTAGACGCCAGGGTATATCCAGGCACCCTGTGATTGCATTCGGGCAGCAAATTAATATGAAAGACTGCATGGAAGGTTCGTCCCGCCTATGGGAAGGCTTGTGAATCTTCGAGTGGAGCTCGTGTGGCTTGGTAGCAATATGAGATGCTGCGAAAGCTGTGATGGCGTAGCGGGGCTGATCAGGAGATGCTGCTGATGCAGGTCCACTGCCGCCGTTTGCTGATCACAGTCCTGCTGGACCCTCTATGCCAAGGGAATAGTATGCGCAGTGCGATCTTAGTCGGCCGTTTTCCTCATGTATTAGCCTGTTGTACGCGGTTAGCACGTTGAAGGGCTGGGGGGAGGTCGCTCGCTTCGCGGCCCTCTCCAGACACACCGCATGGCTTTCCCATGCTCCGTGCTTCCTGCGGACCCCTCTGTAAGCAGGCTGCCACCACACTATCATGGCTGCCACCACCACTACGCTGTTTGTGTGTCTACCCAAGCGTGCGGCAAGTTGCAGGCAATGTATCGCCAATCGGGCGAAGCTGCGGCCTCGTTGGTGGGTAGAAAGACCATGGTGCAGTGCAGGCCACGGCTTGCGACTCGGGACCCTTGAAGGATCATTTTGGCGCCATTTTCTGATTGTCTGAGCGTAATGTGGAGTGCTTGATGCCCTGGTCGTCCCCGCATTTGCGTCGCTCATCTCGCGAAGGCGGTTTTGTGACATGTGTAGGTGTAGGAGCTAAGAAGACGCGAGATTTGGTGTGGTTATAATCGTCGCTGGTCCTGCCGTCTCATGCTCATACCGGATTGTTGTATCTTGCTTCCATCAGCTACACCTAGCTTACCCCCCTTTCCGCCTACGAATCCAGGACTTTGTCTCGATATCGTGGCTGCACGCCGCAGAAGTTGTGCAGCGTGCCCCAGCCGCTTTCTAACCGTCCACCAATCATGGCGGGAATTACTCCTTCTCCAGATGTTAGTCCCGTGTCAGCGGCGACCACTAATGGAGGATTCCCTCGGGACGCCTTCTGCCTCAATCTCTCCACTTTGCCCGAAGCAAACAGCTTTATCCTAAAATCTGCCCTGACGTCTCCTCATCTGCTCGACTCACCGAATGGACTGTTCTCAGGAAGCGGTGGTCTGAGTAATTCCTTCAAGAAGCGGCCCCGCAACATGTCTCAGTCATCTGGTACAGACAGGGAAATGTCAAACGACAACACCCCACCCGCCCAAACAAATGGAGTTGCGCCTACCAGCAATGGCACGAATGGCACGAACACGGAATCACGACCAAGCACCAAAAAGCGTCCAAGTACCGACACAATAGACTACCCGAGACGCCGTGCAACCATTGCGGTACAGCAGACTCATGTCGATCTGTCAACTCCATGAAACTAACTATGAACAGTGTGAAATATGCCGGTCGCGGAAGAGTCGATGCGATGGAACGAGACCGAAGTGCAGACTTTGTACAGAGCTGAATGCAGAGTGCATCTACCGGGAGCCAGGTATCAAGCTAGACGCAGGCGACAAGCTGATCTTGGAACATCTCAATCGCATTGAAGGCCTCCTTCAATCTGGCCTTACCAGTAATTTCTCATTATCGTCACATTCGCCAGCTGCGAGTAATTCTACAAGCGAAGACTTCCTCGCCCGTAGCACCGGCAATATACCCCATCTCGGCATGGTCCAGCCGATCAACGGCATAGGAACATGGACCAACCATCCTTCGAATATCTCCACTATGCCGAAAACTCACAACACAGCAGCACTGAATCTGTTGTCATCTCCAATGATAAGAGAGCTCGTATCTCGCCAGTACGACGCCAAGCTTCTGCTTCAGTTGGAGATGACCCGGGAGTCTGTGAGCCTTGGAACGAGTCGCGGGCTGGACCTTTCAAACACTGGCGCATACGTGCAAGCGTACTTTGAGAGAGTAAATGTCTTCTACGCAGTCGTCAACCCTTACACATGGAGTAGCCACTACCAAACTGCTCTAAGCCATGGTTTTCGGGACGGTCCTGAAAGCTGCATAGTTCTTCTGGTTCTTGCTTTGGGTCATGCTGCAAGCACCGGCAGTATTACACAACAAAATCCAGAAAAGGATCCCCCAGGCTTGGCATACTTTACTGCAGCCTGGAGCTTGCTGCCGACGGTCATGACAAGGAACAACATGGTAGCCGCGCAATGTCAAATTCTCGCTGCAGCATACTTGGTATATCTTGTACGTCCGGTCGAAGCCTGGAATGTACTCTCGGGTGCCAGTATGAAACTGCAACTTCTTTTGAGTGCGCCCGGTCGAGTGTCTCCGGCAGAAGAAGAATTAGGCAGAAGAGTTTACTGGAATGCTGTAATGATTGAGAGTGATCTGCTAGCAGAACTTGATCTTCCCCATTCTGGCATCGCACAATTCGAAGAGGGCTTTTCACTACCAACTGGCTTTGAAGATCTGGGAACAGAAGCAGTTGGTCGGGATGAATTGTGGTACTTTCTTGCAGAAATCGCCCTTCGAAGACTTCTCAACCGCGTGAGCTCCATGCTATACATAAGGACAACACCATATTCCAAAGGCCCAGCTGCGACATCCATCGCCCAACTGGACCCACTAGTTGTGGAACTAGATTACCAGCTGAATCAGTGGTATGCTGGTCTACCGCCAGCTATGCAATTCCCGCTCGATAGAGTGCCTTTGCAGAACCCAGTTCAGACCGTTCTGAGGCTGCGCTATTTCGCGTGCCGTACCATTATCTTTCGACCGTATGTGCTTTTGGTCTTGCAGGACGAGACTTTGGCGATGGATTCAAGCGTGCAGGACAATTGCCATAAATGTCTGGAGGCATGCGTTCGCCAACTGGAATATATCACGGCACACCACGCTGGACATCTACCCTATTTGTTCCAGGGTGCTCTCTCGTAAGTCTGGCAGTTTGTCAAAACAACGTGAACTGACACTTTCTAGAATTATCTCGCAGACACTACTCATCATGGGCGCAACTATGACCCCTTCGCTATCTCAGCTACTACCTCCGCCAGCGACCATGGACGATATCATAAATAACGTTGTTCTGGAAATGGAACGATATGCTCATCTGGCACCCAGCCTCCAACTCTCGGCTGAGATCATTCGCGAAGCAGAAGGAAAGCGGCAGATGTGGCTACGAACGGCAGGACTCAAATTCGATGTGTGAGACACCCAGAATGCCATGTACAACACGACAAAGACTGTGGTTATTCCCGAGCGGAAAAGCTATACCGCTAATGGAGCTGCTTGTTCTACGTTGCGTGGCAAGATCTACCTTCCATATTCGGAGGCCTCCGTATACATGTGGACCAACAGGACAAGGGAAGATCACATGCGAAAGCGGTTATCATCTACACGACACAGAAGGCGTACCTCGACCAACCCACTACTGGGTCCAAGCACAGACCGTCATCTTCAACACCTCGAATCGGACGTTAAGACAAACATGTACTAGGTCTCCATCAACCAGGTTCTCATATCTGCCGTACCCCGAGGGTATATGCCGAAGGCATTTGGCGAGTCAACACCTAATATACGTTGTCTCGACATGCCATAGTGTCTATGAAGACATTTGAGCATAGGCAGCTCTTTCAAAGATTTGACACATCACCGTCTTAGACGATCTTTCACGACTGAGGCTACAGGAGGAATACTGTACGTACATCACCAGACAATGCAAGACTGAACGAGTGGTGGCAAGGTGCAGCTTGGAAGATGATGTGTGGGTGGAAGTAATGAGTCTGAGGGATGATCTGTGGGTACTACGGTGTACCCCAAATGAGTTCGGACTCGGTACGGCGCGGTGGCTTCTACCGCCACTTGGATGATGACCGTGACTTGGTACATAGTCAGCGTGAGGCGTCGTGCATGAGGCTACGACATCGGATAGCACTTATGCAGCCCAGACATCAAGAGACTCCACACCATATCCAGTCTTAGTGCATCTGCTCATGTGAAGCGCATATCACAATGGTACACATAGCGCGTGCCGCGCGCTCTCTCACGTTGACTAATGCACAACCCCGGAGAAACGCAATATAGATCCTGCAACGGAGACCAGGGGTAGGGTGGCCTGTTACCCCACATGTTTGGGTTTGAGACTTTATCCGTACACCCATCTTTCGGGCCTTCTGGAAAAGCAGTGGAACTTTTGGACGCCTTCGAGAAGTTCAGATGCGGAGGTGTGCGATACGGACAAGGGTGAATGGGACAACGGGGGACCATGTCAGGGACGATGTCGTGTTGGTGGTTGATGATGATGCTAATAGTCATCTGAGTCAAACCACTTCTGTCTTGTCATCCCGGGTATGGTGTGCATGGCTCTTTTGTAGGAGCTTAGTAGCAAGCCATGCCTCATAGCCTCGTCTTCACCGACCTTTGGGTGCGTTATACGTACATGTCTTCTAGAAGCTCAAACCCAACTCAACGCCGTTGAAATCACGTACTGCAGCCACGATCTCGAGTCGCCGACTATGTGATACGATGTTTTGACCAGTCAGCAAGAGCCATGGCTTGGATTATCTGATGATGAGAGTTGGAATGTACACGGCATCATTCCAGAAATCACCAGACTAGCGCTGAGCTTTATGCACGGCTCTGATCGCTGGTTGGTTCGCGTGCGCCAGGGCGTTCAATAGTGCCTGGCGTCTTAAGTTGTGATTGGTACGTTGGTCCTCACACGACGCCACAGACGGAATGACGGGAGTGCGCTCCGGTAACATTATTGGATAGTTGTGCTGCTTCAAGACAGTACAACGCGAACGCGGAGCATAAAATATGTGGCAATGACGTCTGAGTCCTTTCCTTTACAAGGGCCAAACTTGTATATTGGAACAAGGGTGTGCCATTGTTCCTGAGGCCTGAACGGAGCGCATGAATCGAGACATGGACATGTCTTTAGATTCGGTGATCGTTTAAGCTGAACGTATCTTATATCAACACGAACTCATCAGCCTCATCCTCTCCCCAGTCAACTAGCTCGCCATGCATCCAGTTCTCGTAATAACACTGTCCCACTACTGTGTACTCCGTCTCGTTTTCGCATCGTCTTAGGATTAAAGGAACCGTAGATCCATGTACGATACATATGCAATCGCCTGGGAGGATGGCGTTTGGACCAATACCAAATAACTGCTTGCGGCCGAGAAACAGTCGCTTATGCTCAAGTCTCAGGTTCGTATGATTGAATCGCTGCTTGTAGAGCTCTTCGCCAATGTCATCAGCCGAATGTGTATCAATGTAGTGCTCGTACATTGAAGTCAATTCTTCTGGAGTATATTGTAGTGACTCTCCAAGAGGCTGCTGGCCCGGATCGAGGCCAACAAGTACAGCGAAGACGCGTGCTTTAGCAAGCTGTGCTTTGGCGGGAGTATCGATATCCACTGTAGGCATGGACGCCCTTATATTGGACATCTCCTCGGCCAATCGCACATTTTCCAATCCACTATTTGCAAGCTCCTCACGCGTAACACATGACACAAATTGGACCGAGTCGATAACACGCCCTCGAACGACCAAGCGCATATCGTCTTCGTGTGTATTTCTAGCCGCTTGGTACAATCTTTCTTTGGCGGCGGCATATGGGAATTTTTGAGGGTCGCCAATTCTGTAACCTTGCCATTTGTCCTTCGCAGAAAAGGGGCCCATCCGCCAGTCTATCACCCAGGAAGGTATCTCGGCGTCTGCGCTGCCACGAACAAGCCCTAAAAATGGGAGGGAGCCAGTTTGACTTGCTATGTCTATGCAGAACTTCCGATATGCTTGTGCAATAGACAGGTTGTAGTTCGCAACAGCACGGGAGCCAGAATCGTCCTTTTGTAGAGCCAAAAATGCATAGATGGAGTCTCTTGGATCGCTTGCCTCACGTAGAGACGAGAGCCAGAACAGTACATCCAAAAAATCTCCGTATAAAGCTTTGTACTTAGGATCGCCCCGCAGCCACCTGCGTGCCGTATCGATGCTTAGAAAGCGATCAACTCCAATAGTGTGTTTTAACTCTGAGTACACGTCTTGAAGGTACGGGTCTGCGGAATATCTGATGATGAAGATTGTATGGTGAAGGATGTATAGATGAAATGGTGTCGATCCAAGAACAAGTGTAGGCTGAGTCGACAAAACGATCTCTTGGACGATCCAAGCTCGCTCGAAGTACGGGAGACCGAGGACCCAATCAACAGCTTCCATGTATTGTACTTTTGTATATGAGTATCGTAGCTCATCCTCTTGACGAAAGATAGCAAGTAGTCTACTTTCCAATCTCTTCATCGCAGGGCGATCCCAATCAACATCGAGCGATATACCACGTAGATTTTGTATCAAATCAAGTAGCACGGGCGTATGGTTAACAGATTTCCCAATCCACATCAGTGTGCGCTCCGCCTGTCCGTAGATTTGCTGCATAAGGGCAACCTGGTGACTCCGCTCATCCAAATCGCGTTGATTCACAGCAATCTGATCTATCCAAATTCTTCCGCTCGAACCAGGTTGTACCAATAATCCGTGAATATGGTTTAGAATATGCACGAGGTGCAGCGTGATCTTGAGAGACCCAGCACCGGCTATAGGAATGGACGCATAAGTGTTAGCATTTCCGTCAATGGCTCTAGGTTCCTCGTTGTCGTAATCGTTCCACGTGTAGGACAAGGCCTCGAACCGCGGTTTGTCTGTGAGATTCAATACTTCTATCTTATACGACGGCGCGTCTTTGGTGCCTGAGACGGCCAGCACTCTGATGGAACCAGGAGAAAGAGCTGAATATTGGTATGACGTCATATTGCAGGTAGCATGGCCGGTCCTCGTCCCGAAAGAAAGTTGCACAGCGCAAAAGAAAGCCGAGAAAGATTCTGAACTGGCTCAAAGGATGTGTTGACGACAGATACTAGGATGACATGAAGGTGGGGTTGGAAGAGCTGGTGCCCAGATGGAGGCCAGACACCGGGCCGTGTGTTAGCGCGTTTAAGCCCCACTAAAATTTCTTTGCAACTTCGACATCTTCAACGCGCGGCAACCACGATCACGTCTCCATCTCAAACATCATGGCCGTCGACAACTCGCTAGAATCGCTACTCGCGACTCTGACTACGTCTATTCAATCCGCCACGGAGGCACTTTCAAATGATGATATCTTGCCACCAAAAGAGGGCATTTCACTACTGGACGTGAAGAATGAGCTGCTTCTGTCCTATCTACAGAACCTCGTTTTTCTGATCCTGCTGAAGCTGCGGTCGCGCAAGGGCAACCAGAAAGAGACGGATCTTCATCCTCAAGATGAGGTCGTTCAAAAGCTTGTGGAGTTGAGGGTCTACCTCGAGAAGGGTGTGCGACCGCTCGAAAGCCGCCTGAAATACCAGATCGATAAGATTTTGAGGACCGCGGATGATGCCACACGACGCACCACCCAAGCCACAGCAAAGCCTGCACAAAAACCAAGAAAGAGCAAGGCCGATACTGGATCCGATTCAGACGTCAGCGACGCCGAATCCAACGGCTCCGCACAAACCGAAGAAGATGAAGACGAGATGGCCTATGGCCCTCGCCGTGCCCAAGTTACCCGCCAAAAGACTGAAGCGGCGCAAGAGCGTGCGCGCGAATCAGCAAAGGATGGCATTTACCGCCCACCCAAGATCACCCCAATGGCCATGCCAACGCCCGAAGGTCGCGAAGCGCGCCGGGAACGCCGTCCAGGAAAGTCTGCCACCCTGGATGAATTCATCGCCACTGAGCTCTCTGGCGCGCCAATCGCCGAGCCTAGTATCGGAAGCACCATCACGAACGGAGGTCGACACACGAAGTCTGAGCGTGAGCGTCGTGAAGAGAACGAGAGGCGCGAGTACGAAGAAGCCAACTTCACACGTCTGGCTCCTGATAGTAAGAAGGAGGCTGCGAAGAAGAAGGCAAGACAGCAGCGTGATGGTGGGTTTGGCGGTGAGGAATGGAGGACTTTGGGCGCTGGTATTGATCGTATTGAGCGTTTGACGCAGAAGAAGGGTGGCAACCTGGGGAGTTTGGAGAAGAGCAGGAAGAGGCCTGTTGGAGATGGTCCGAGGGGTTCTGGATCTGCTGCTGGAGATGCGTTTGAGAAGAGGAGGAAGGTCGTAGGAAGGTACAAGTGAGGAGTTTGATTACTTTGATCCTGCAACAAAGTCCAAGAGAGATAGCCTACACAATCGTCATCTGCCATGTATACACTGTGGCGAATGTTTTCATTCATATGTCATTACATTGGAGAATCGCTAAAACGCCTATTTTGATTCTCAATGGCATCTAGAATTGACGCCTGTACGACGCCTGTACGACGCCCATGACCTTGTTCCGTCGACGCCCATGCTATGCATTTCACTGTGGTAGTCCGTGCCAAATCCAGCGATCAAACCTGAAACGCCTGCAGATATATGCTGAATAGCTCTTTAAATAGCCTCCTCTCCTCTAGGCCAGATACCTATACGAATCGATCTGTGCTCCGTCTACACGCTCAAGGTACTCGCGCTCAATGAGCGATTCAATGCGCTTCTTGACCATGTTGACTTCGGGCTTGAATTGACCATTTAATTGGCCGAGTGTTTCAGACATGAGCTGTTGATGCGACAGCTCTTTACGTTGCCTGTTTCGTTGTTAGCATGATCTTTCTTGAAATATTCTAAGAATACTTACTTCATGATTCGGACAACTGCAGCCTCGATACAGAAGCCTCGCGAATCGTCATTCTTCTTCTCTGTCTCGCGTCGCTCGCGATCGCTTTCGACCTTGTTGCCGCCGCTGACAACACCAACCTTGATCTTGACGAACTTGCCCTGGAATCCTTCGTTGAAAGAAAATCGATCGGTAGGTTTGACATCCTTGGACATGGGCTCCTTGATCAAGATTCGCGTCTTGGGCGCTACAGCTAGCGACTGCAAGTTCCGAATCAGGTCACTCGGAGGAATGTTGGTCTGAGCTTGGATCTCTTCGAAAGTCAGGCGTTCGTCGGCACCAAGCTCGTTGAATAAGAGTAGGATGATCATGCCGTATGTCGATACGTTTAGGTCATGGCGACGCTCCTTGAAGGATCCATCCTTCTGAGCAACTTTGGGAAAGACAGCCTTGATGTCCGCCGATCCCATATTGGGTAGCCAAGTAAGTTGTCGTCCGGAGTGCTTTTGACTATAGAACTTCTCGAAACCGCGCTTGAGCTTGTCTACGACAACGGGGTAGTTGCACCGCGGTCGCTTGTCCTCTTCGTCGGCAGCTGCACCACCCATGGTCTCGAGAGGCCATGTCATGCTGGTCAACACGTTGATTGACAGCTCGATGCGCTTAGGATCCTTCTCGCCAAGACCTTCCACGTGCTTCTTGAAGCCAGCAGTAAGTTCCTCGGAAATAGTCATGTCCTTGAACATGGCCTCTAGCTTTAGGGTGAAGTTGTTGCCGAGCTCGATCTTCATCTTCGAAATCATCTGCTTTTCGACTTCATTGCTGATGGACTTGTTCATCAACAGACGTCGACACAAATGCTTCTTGTAATAACGCTCGAAGAGGTCTTTGTCCTGTACGTATCGTAGGAGGATAATGGCCTTCTCTAGGACAGCGTCAATCTCAGCCTCAGTCTTGCCCTTGATACCCTTCTTCATGTTTTCGTCGATGAAGAGGGAAATGTATTCAGATGATCGCGGGAATGTGACCGAGTTGATGAACTCGGAGAAACTCGCGGTCTGGGCTTGTTGCAGCAACGGATCGCACTCGAACGACTCGCGCCAAATCTTGTCAAAACGGTCTTTGAGGGCAAGAACATCCTCGACCCATTTGATCGCAGCTACGGTCTGCTGGTTCAGACTCTTCTCTTGCGCCGGACCCTTGCTCTTGTCGGCGGAATCGGCGACCGGTGCAACAGCAGGTGCTTGCGATGCCGCGATTGCGTCCTTGTTGATGTCTGAACCCATTTCGACAATGCGCTGTTGGATGGCTCGGGTAGTCTCGAGCTTCTTCTCGTCTACTCGCTTGTTCAGATCATAGATGAGGTTCAGCTCTTCTAGCCTGTGGTTATCGATCATGAAGCATACGCCGCTTTCCATCTCCACAAGCTCGTGTATCCGGTTCTTGATCAGCTCATCCTCTACGACTTTCTGAATCTTGGGCCCGGTACTTTCCAAAAGTGTCTGTTTGCAACGCTCGTCTTCTTCGTAGATCCTGCGTCGGGCGTGTTTACAATATGCGCCAGCATGTGAATCGCGGAGCAGGAGCTCCGACTCTCCATGGTAAAACACCCTACTGGTCTCCAAATACTCTTTCTCAAAAGACGTGTTGTATAGTCGCTGCTCTTCTGCCTCGACCTCGCCCTCATGTAGACCCTCCAACATCCACACACAAGACTTGATGAGCTGCTTGTCGATGACGTCGCCATCGCGTTCCATCTGTATCTGGTCGAGGATGATGTGGTTCAGCAGGCTGAGTATCGCTCGAGCGTCGGTCGGGGAGATTCGAGAGTTGAGGATTTCGTCGCGGAACAGGACCATGGCGGCGTTGTAGATGGACGGCCGCCTATGGTCTGCACAATAGACACGATCCTTGAACGGGTCCACGTTAGCCATTGTCCTCTGCTTCAATACTCGAAGGCGTGTCATCTTACCATGTACATGAGCACATCTGCTAGCATGCTCGTGCAGATCTGGTGGTCGCTCCATGCCCCCTTCAATCCTTTCAAGAACTTCTCGCCAGCCACACGTCGCTCATTCGGTGTAGTTCCCCCAACACTCTGCGCGTCGACAAGCAGATTCGGCGAGAGCAGTTGCGAGATTTGGGCTCGAACCTCGGTGCTCAGCCAGTTTCGCTCGAATTCGTGGACCTTTTCGTAGAGGGCCTCACCCTTCTTCTTCAAGACGATGCGGTAGGCGTGGCGGTAAAGTTCCTCGTACGATAGCTTGGACGCATTCTTTGTGTGGATTTCTCGAAAAGCGGCTTCGATGGTAGCCCAGGTGTTCTCGAAATCGATCTCGTCACCGTGTAGGCCCTGCGAGAATGACATTGTCAGTTGAGTCTACAAAGTGGATGGTACATTTGGGACAGTGAGGTTGAGCGGCGAAGACTTAAGGCGCGATGAAAGTGAAGGTGAATGGCAATACATACCCTCCTCGGCGGCCGTATCCGCTGTCTGCCTCGCCCTGCGATCATGGTTGCTCCTGCCTCCTCTTGTTGGTGTGAATCAGAGCTTCAAGGCTCGGTGTGGGTTGAGTTGAGGGAGGCTGATGGTGAGGCCTGGTACGGTATAGACGCAGTCAAAACAAGGGTATATCAGTGAGACATCCGAGCGCTAAAACACAGTACAGCGAAGGTGACGACAAAGGAATGGCACATGTGGCGGCCGACGCGAGTGATGGTGAGGTTCAGGTCTCGGACTTGTTGCGGGCGGCTGGTCCCCGCTGAACGGAAGCACGCCGTCGTCATGGCTTGGCACTCGGTCAATTATTCTTTGCCCGTCGCACTGCCGTTCGTCATACTTGATACCTCGTCATACCCACCATCTTTGTATATCGCTGTCTTTTGAGTCGTTCTCATCAGAAATACCCGCCATGCGCTCCTCTTCTTCTTTGTTGCGCGGCATTGTCCGAAGCACTGCGCCTTCGACTGCACGACTTTCCCACGCCGAGCGAATCCCAGCGCCCGCAAAGCGCCTCTTTCACACACCGCGAACGTCAGCTGCCATACGCCCTTCGCCGATACTATCACGAGCGCGTGTACCCCCCACAGTCCGCTTTGAGTCAAATGAAGCTTCTCCAACATCGACCACTGCGCCGGACTCACGACTAGAACGCGAACAAGTCCCGTCATACGAACTCACCTTCACATGCAACGTCTGCAAGACACGGTCGTCGCATCGCTTGTCTAAACAAGGATACCATCATGGAACTGTCTTGATCCAATGTCCGGGCTGCAAGAACAGGCATCTGATTGCAGATCATCTCAAGGTATGATGAAAGAATACACGAACTGGCGGTGCAGTCTAACAGTCACCAGGTATTCTCAGATAAATCCGTCACAATCGAAGACCTTATGCGGGAGAAAGGCAGCCTAGTCAAGAGAGGCTCTCTGAGTGCAGAAGGCGACGTTGAATTCTGGGACGACGGCAGCACCACTCCCCGCTCTGCACAATTCCACGCCGAATCGAAACCTAAGGGCGACAACCGCCTCGCCGAGCAGCCCGATCCATCGAAGCCCTCGCAAGACTAAACGTTACGCATCCGAGATAGACGCATACACCTAGCGGCATATTCGATTATCCGTACAACATCTGGCAGCCTGTATAATATTGTTTGAATACCACTCAGGAGTTTTCGTTCCAAATCAAGAAGTCCAGGTTACTAAGTACAGTTCAATCACGCATAGCCCCGGCATCATTTTGTCTGCGCGCGCAAAGAAGTTCTACAGTGTCGCTAGGATTACTTCCGCCGAAGACCTCGCTTCCTTACAATAGCATATCTACATCCACCGCCTCCCGTCTCTTTACCTCGAGTTTCACCATCGGATCGACGACCTTGTATACACCCAATTGTAGTGACCCTACCTCATACCCCTCTGCAAGCTGGATGTCGTACTTGAGCAGTATGTGAGCCACGGCGAGTTTCAACTCATTAGCCGCAAAAAATCGTCCTGGGCATAGGTGGCGACCACCGCCAAAGACACTGAACTCTGAGCCGGACTGGACAAATTGACTAGTTTTATCGCCTGCTTCACGCTTGCGCAAAAAGCGGTAGCCGTCAAATTCGTCCGGGTCGGGATAAACGGCGGGATCCCATAGATTTGTAGAGTCGACCATAACGTGCGAGCCAGCAGGTATCCTTTGGCCGCTCGGGAGTATTACGTCTTTCAGGACTACGCGCTCGAGGCCCACTGGGTCGGAGTATATGTTAGCTTTGACATGAAACATAAATGAAGACGATGGAGAACGTACCCAAGGGAGCGGATCGTCGTTGCGACTCTTTCAGGATGCTGTCTAGAAGGACCATGGCAGATGTGGCAGCGACTGATACCCCGTGTGTGGAGATTTGTTGCGATATCTCTTCTCTCAATGGCTCGATGAGCTCAGGATGCTCGGCTAGATCGATCAAGACCTGGCGGAAAAGCTCACTCGTTGTGAACAGTGCAGCCATTGCGAGGGACAACTGCACATCGCCTGCTTCCATTTTCCCACCCGATGCAGTTTGTGTCCATGCAAGTGCGTCGTTATATCGTGGCGGTGATTTACCTTCCAAATTCGCCTTCTCAACTTCTTGTCGCCTTTTTACAAGTACCTTGTTCATGATATCGCGGGCTTGAACGACATACTTGCGACAAGCAGTCGCGTTGGGAAGGAATTTTTGCACCATGGGTCTTGACCAAGCGGGATATCCATGGAGCTCGTTCACAGCAGAGAAGTAAGCGGCGACGTAGCCCTGTACGACGTCCAACCACTGCGCATCATCGCTCTTTTCCGGACCAACGAAGACTGAAGACGCGACGCGGGCGATGATACCAGTGGTGTCCATTTGCCAATCGATCGCATGCCAGACTTTGTCGTTTCCCCAATGAACTTCAAGAGCTTTTACCGCACTCTTATTCATGGTAGGCATCAGACTATCGTTTTGGCCTAATTTGGTCTTGATCACGTCCATGAGCATGTCGCCAGAGTGTAGAAGAGTCAGTCCTTCGAAACCAGGAAAGTCTGAGTAAAAGTCTTGCCGCACAAGCTCTCTGTGGTCGAGGTCTTTGTTGGATTTCACCCAGCTGGTGAGTGACGACGGAAGTACGATCTTGCGGCCATTGGGAATGGCAAGGGTGACGGGGCCATGGTGTTTGGCGAGGCCTTCGGTGATCAACGTAGCGGCATTTGTGCTGTATTCGCGATTTGCCTTACGACTGAAGGAATCGATGAGGTGGCTATTGACGATGGGGAAGACCGGTCGACGTCTTGAGCGAAGAACGTATGCGCTAGTCAAAATGATCGCAAACGTCCACGTATGGACACTGAAGAGGATCTCTAGAAGCATACCTATTCGAGTACGACAAGGTAGCCCAAGGATTAGAAAGGAAAGAAGACTAGGTAATTTATGAAATCATGCTGGAGACCTTTAAAAGCAACAGGGAGGCTCTCTGGTTACGCAATATGAAGCAGAATGACTCATTATGAATGCAGAAGCAGTACCTGAGTACGACAATTGGAAACAAGGGGCGATTCGGCGAGGCGGTATTCCTCTACGACGAGATTCTGGCGAGGAGTAACAAAAACATATACATGGCAGCCAGCCATGCCATTGAGCAAAAACGAACAAAAACATACAACAGCGGGGATTCGCTAGTGGTCACCCACCTAACTACTAATCCGCCGGTATCCTGCTTGTATATGGCTGAGCGGACGGGAAGCCTAATTCTCAAGATCCTATGGTCGTATGTGCTGATTCTATTGGCTCAATTAACTCATATTGCGCTTTTCCTGTTCAACCACATCGTTACGTCTACTGCTTCGACAGCGCTGCTTTTCGATGAAGTCTACACGCTTCTCTCACTTCTTATTATCACTTACTAGACCAAGTTCCTACCCAGCCTTGGGGCCATTCAATCGCAGAGATCCCCTACCTAGCTAGAGCAGCTAGCTGGTTCTGCTACACTGATGAAAGTTCCATGTCGTGCTCTACGACCAGGCTCGTGGACCGCTTGGATATGACAGCGTCAATTATAACAAACCCAGGAGGAATGGTGTGAGAGTCTGGCAACAAGGCTGCACATACCATTACTAAATACAAGAATCTCAGTATACATAACTGTGGGGGCGGGACGGGCTTGGCATAAGCCACATGCCCTTCGTCTGGCTGATTATGGTCGATCTCCCACCAAGTATGCGGGCTGAGTGGCTATGTAATTAGGCAAACGTTGCCGAACTTCAACATGCGGCCTTTAATTTCCGCCTGCTGTTAGCCCCCAAAAATCAACGCCTCTCGAGGGCGCAGCCTATCTGCTGGTTGGACGACGTAGATCTTCGGTAACATACCCGCTGCTGGAGGACCTCTGCCAAGACCTTACATTCCTGTTTAACTCCTCACATGTGCTCTAGGCTGGGCCTGCCGCCAATTGCAGCCGAGAACTAGCTCGAAAGGACGAGGGTTGGTGTGCAGATAAAGGTCTATTTCCTAGCTGCGCCTGGCTGTGGCTGGCTGCTGGGGTTAGTTGTCCATGCGATATTGACAGATGGTGACGCGGCTTCGATATGCTTGAATGCGTCATAGGAGACATGGTCGAGGAAACTTTATCAAGGGCATGCAAGTGTACGCGAAGCCATTTTGGGTACGGCCATTGTCAACCGCAGAGCCGCATGGGTTGTAGGCATCGCTTTGTCCCGGCACTGCTTAGCAAAATCTACCTACCTACATCCTGTGCCAACTTCTCTTGATAGTATTTACCCTAAGAACTTTCTCCTGTGTCCATAAGCTATGACAGGCGTAGCGGCGACAGGAGACCCGCAGGTACCCTGGGCGGAAGTCCGAAATAACGAAAGGTAATAAAACGCCAGTGCCTGCAAATAGTGGATCAGCTAACAACATAAGTCCTGGCCATGTCTCCAAGTTTCCCTTGAATCGAGTTACAGAACGGCACGCTGCCACATTCTATGGACGACATTACCTACCGATCGAAGAAAATGTTTTTATCCGTGGCGTACTCGCACTTCGATCACAAGATGCTATCGAAAGCAAGTTCCGAAGCTTGCGCAACAATGAATCATGGATGGAGAACAAGAGACTTAAACTCGGCGAACACGAGTACTCCAAGATCGAGACTGAGGTTTTATATAATGCTTGGATGAGAGGGAAGATAGAAACTTTGAAAAACTTGTCAAGATTGCACCGACTTCTGATAGTGGCTTGCATATACGCTGCGATGACACAGTGAGTGCCTGTGTTCTCCTTCTCATAAAAGAATACTAACATGACATTAGGGGTTGGGATCAAGCAGCTATGGCCGGTAAAGTTGCAACTTTGCGCGCTGAAATTCACAGCTGATTTTGTTTTAGGTGCTGCAATTGAAGTTATGAACAATCTGGGCAAAACTACCGATACAGGACTCTCCTCCGGTATCGCGAAACGAGCGACGGATCCCAATGTGCACCTCGACGAGAATACATGGCTTCTCGGTGTCACCGTGGGAGTTCCATTCTTCGCTGGTGCTGTGTTGGGCTTGATAATTACCGACCCTATCACCAGGTTCTTAGGGTTTGGTCGACGAGGTGCAATCTGCGTTGCAGGTATCTTCAGTCTCATCTCCGTTGTTGGTTCCGCGTCTGTTCACAAATGGGAACATCTCCTCGGATTCAGAATACTGCTCGGTGCAGGCATGGCGGGCAAAGCCTCTATCGTTCCTATACTACTGTCCGAGACATCTCCTAAGAATGTGCGCGGTATACTCCTTGTCTTCTGGCAGCTGTTTGTCGCTTTTGGATTGGCTGCTGGATCTGTTGCTAACTTGAGCGTGTATCGCCTCGATGTCGACTCAAGCTGGCGGTATATGTTCATTGCAGCGTTCCTGCCGGCACTTCTTCTACTCTCGTTGATTCTGTTCTCGCCCGGTAAGTTTGAAACAAGACTAGATCATGGCGTACCTGATGCTGACGAGTATAGAATCACCACGCTGGCTTCTGAAAGAGAGTGGAGCATTCAGAGGGCAACATGGCGTCATGACGCAGAGCCAAAAGCTTGTACGAAACGCTTACCTATCGTTGGTCGATCTGCGCGGCGAACCCAGCCCAATACTAGCTGCTGGTGAGCTATACTTAATGCACACGCGTCTCATTGATGAGCAACATCGACTCAAGGACGAGCTAGCGAAGACGGGTCCAACAGCACTCCCAGACGCAGGACCCAGGTCTGAAAGCAGACTTGTAGACGAGATAGAACACATTGGATGGTGGCCAAGAGTCAAACTCATGTTTCTCTACCCCGGCTTCACACGAAGAGCCCATCTAGCTGCAGCTGCCGTCATGATATCGCAACAGCTGTGTGGTATCAACTTGCTGGCCTTCCTAGCTGACAGATTCTTCCGAGATTCCATTATTCATCACACGGAAAAGACTACGCCAGCTGAGAACATGCAACTGCTAGGCATTTCTTTCGCCTTCATGTTTCTCAACTTCTCAGCGACCATGATTGCACTATTCCAGATCGACAAACCCAACGGAAGGCGCACGCTCCTGAATTGGTCTTTCCCTGGTATGGCAGTGTCTCTGTTAGGATCTGCCTTGGTACTCACGAAGCCGGGTGAGCGCACTGCTGGCGTGATTGCGGGTCACTTCATCTTCCTTACTTTCTTCATGATTGCATATTCAGCCGGGGAGGGTCCCGCAGCTTTTGTCATATCAGCAGAAGTTTTCCCGCTTGTGAATAGGGAGCTTGGGATGAGCCTTGCTGTGTTCTGGAACTTCATGGGCGCGGGTATCCTGGCTGTGATTGCACCGTGGCTCTTGAGGGAGCTCGGTCAAAAGGGTGTGCTCTTTCTTTTCTCTGGTACCAATCTGCTGGCATGGTTCCTCTGCTCCTGGCTCATTCCGGATACCGGCATCGAAGCTCTGGAAGACGTTTTTGACCGACTTGACATCACCACATTGTTTATGTTGAAGTACACAGTATTGAAAATTCTGCGGAGGGTTACGAAGCCTTTACATTGGTGTCTCAACTTCAAAACCACAACATGGTCGAATGCTGGTTTTTGGCAGAAGCCTGGATCGCCCAGGGATGAGTTTGACGAATCGAAGTTTGGCGCTCAACATTTTGACGAAGAGACTGCGTCGCAACCCGAGCGACACGAGATGCTTGAGTGGACTGCAGCAAATGCCGGTCGGCCGGAGGGAATTTTTCCTCGAAATGAACGAAGGCAATCGGTCTGAAGTACTTCTATACCATCTCCATATCCGAAGTATTGTCTATCGACTTGTTATACTCTAGTGAGCTGTTTTCCTGTTTCAGGTAGCCTTTCCTGTATGTCTGCATTCTCCATCTCCAGCAAGCCAAGGTCAAGATGGTGAGAGGGATTGAGATGACGAAGTAAAGCCACAACTGTTTCGACACTAAGAGGTTGCGAGACTCGGAGTCAAAGTCTACAAGGTTCATTCCGAACATCGTCTGTGAATAGTTTAGCCTTAGTCCTAGCTTCTAACATGATAAACTTACCGCCACGAATGAGAACGGCAGATAGAACGAAGTCACAAGTGTAATAGCTCTAATCGCGACAGAATCTTCGCGAGCTGATCTTGCCATCTGGAACGTATTCTGACTCTGCCCCTTGGCGAGCTGCTGGAAGCCCAAATTTAGTGAGTCCAATACTGATTGCGCAGTGAGCTGAACTCGTTTTTGGAGATATGCGCCCTGGTTTATATATGAAAGAGCCTCCTTTCGAAGCTCTTCCAGGCTCTGGTGAACGGCTACGCGTGCATCTTTATTCCCATCGTTTGCTTCCAGCAAATGATCGCCAGCTTGTTCAAGGTCGCGAATCAGTTCGTCCAGTGCTGTCAACAAAGGCTCTGCTGGTAATATTCGTTTTTCGATCGCACGGACTTCTTTGAGTGTATCGAAAGTCACCAAGGGCTCTTCTAGAGCTGTACAGGCGGGCTTCAAATCCTATCCATTTGTTAGTACAGTCTTTGGTAACTTTGCAGCAACTTTACCAGCTTCAAGAGCAAAGTCTCATGATCTTCCAGATAATCTCGCCAGGATTGGAGATGACTTGATATCAACATTGTGTGAATGATTGTCGGAGTCGATATTATTGTAGATCTGCCCGATACTTGTTGCAGTCTCTTGCGGAGGTAGTCATCAAAAAGTGCGTTCGGACTTGGGTTCACTATCAACAATGTGGACCTAGAGCCCTTTTTGTTGTGGATTTGATAGATACCAGTATGCCGGATGACCCACGGATTTCCAGACTTGACGTCTTTCTTCTCAGGATATTTATAGACCCAGCCGAACTCTGTCATCTTCTGTCAGCCCAGACAGGAAGCACCAGGAAGATCTACTGACCGGATCGGTCGGTGGTAAACACCGTATGAGAGGTGCCGGAATATGCTTCCTCAGTGGGCAAATGACGTGCATGGAAGCACCTGAGAATCTTCGAGAAACCACAACCAACTTTGCAATGATCCATGAGAGTAGAGACCATGTCTCGGCTTGCATTGAGAGAAGCCCATGTGTGCTGCTGATGGAGAAGACTGGATCTCATTGTTAGTCCCGAGAGATGCTCGCTCAGAATATGCCTACTATATGTCTATCCCGTTACCGAGAGTTTCTCGTCTAGCGCTGCGAAGATGACTGGACAACTGCGCCTCATCTGTGAAGGTAAAAGTATCCGGGTCGCGTGATGAATCAACGCCCAGTTCCAATATCTCAATCAGATGTTTTTCCTTCCGTTTGGAAAACAGTCGAGTATTTTCCAAGATTTTTGATCGTATCTGCGTTGTCGACAACGCAAGTGAACGTACATCACTTGGTTCGTGACCGGGAAGACCATCGGCAAACATTGTGATAGAAACGGGCTGGCTATGCAAGCTGTGGAGAGGCGCATAAACTCTCAAAATTCAAAATGTATTCTATAGTGAGTTTCGCTCGACTACGTGCTTATGTAGTTCCGTATGCACAGCCGAAACGCTGTCAGGCTGTGAATGTGAGCCGCCGATCTGCCTCACTAGGCTGACAAGATGCCTCAGTCTTGTGCTTCGCTGCAAATCCATGCCGTTAGCACATATTCAACCGCTATGTCATCAGTCGTGTCTGCTCACATCCACTCGTCCTGTAGGCGTTAGTGGGACCTTCGAGCCTGATGCACGAGTAAGCCACTTACGTCAGTAAGTTCTCTGGGAGCCTCAAAGGTGAAGAATCCATCTTTGACCTCGTTTATCCTGAAGTTCTTGCAGTCGGGAAATGTCTTCTGGAGGAAACTAAGCAATCCTGTTCGACTGTAGTAGCGATCGTTTGCCTGTAGTCGAACCATAGCGGGAGTAGGCTGGAGAAAGATGGTATGTAGTATCTCGATTCCGCGAAGCTACACAGCATAATATACCACTATAAACACGTTGCACGAGGATGTGATGCAGATGACAAAGAGTCTGGGGGCTAGGGTATGTGCTGGCGAAACTGCTCGGGAGCAAACTGCCACAGGATTGCCACTTTGTGAAGGCTGGCGCGTCCACATGATGCGCGGAGCGCTGCTGCAACTGGAAAACCGACCACACAGCCGTGCAGCTGCGGCGCGAAGCTGGAGGTGGCAGCACGTCCTGCGAATATGCACAGCCCGGCTCTGCAATTGGTCTTGTCACATGGGCCGTGGTTGCCTCGCGGGTTTATCCCGTCCCCGCGTTCCCCCATCGCCATTGACATCACCCGAATGACAGCCGCGAAGCGAACAATAAAGGGCCCCACGTTCCTCCACGCGTTAGAGGTGTACCTTCGCGCGTTGCAGGATCGACCTAACACATGCCGAAGCCTGACCCTCGAGCGCGCGCTATCGTGTATCACGGCTGCATGATTAGGCCGTCGATTTAGCTGGAGATCGCCTAGTTCCAATGAACGCTCAGCGGAGGCCTTCATCACCGCGCTCGAGCACATCGTCCTCACGGCCTCGCGACACTACCCAACAACAGTACCTCTCTGGACAAATTAGCGCAAGCATCGAATCCACCATAGTAGGAGTTCCACACAATGAAGCTCAGATACGTCGATTTTTACCAAAAGGTGATCTAACAACCATACTGAGCGAACAAGCGCTGAGGATCTACCTGAAAGAACTACTCAGCGAAAGCACCGATGAATTTATCGACAATGCACTCTCTAGAATAACTGGTGATCCAGAACATAATGAACCTCCGAGAAGGGCCCTGCTTGCGCTTTTTCTTTATCACCAGCGTTCCGGATTACTCCATCATTTCAGGAACTGGCTGCTATCACAGAACGATTTTCCGTCGGACAGATGGCTGCCCTTCGACCAGAACCGCTTGACGAATACGATTCCAACGCAATATCATGAATACATTAAGGATTACCAATACATCTTTATTCCATCCACGATCAAAGAAGGCATGCACGACACATTCCAATCCAAAGAACGGTTGCCCTACATTGGCGTACCTTTGGCTGTTACAGACGGATCGTCGGGAACTGTCTTCACAAGAGAGGTCGCACCAGGTCACTGGGAAGAGAAGCGCAAGAATGGTCTTCATGCATCGGCGGATACGATAAAGCCGACAGTGTTGGCTTTTAAGGTCTTCAGTGGTGGGCATATTGGGCAAGAGGCTGAGACGAATTTTGAAATCGAGCGCAGCATGCTCAAGGACCTCCGCAAAAGCAATTATACGCATAAGATGATCTTGCTGGATTCAGGGAGCTTTGTCATTCAAGATGAAACTCGTGTTATACAGCACTGTTTGATTTTCGAACGCGCGACTTACACCCTCGAAGACTTTCTCACCCTCGAGAAGAAAGCGCAGGCGCCCTGGACCGGCGGTCGATTACTTACAAATCTGGTTGACATTGTGCAGGCGCTAGCATGTTTACATGACCATTTCGATACTCTCCATCTCGATATAAAACCCGACAACATACTCGTCTTTGATAGGCCTCCTAGTCAATCGGAAGATGGAAATCTAGAAGAGGCCAAATTCGAGTGGAAGATCAGCGACTTCGGTCTGGCTCGTAAACGCAAGGCAAAGGAGAGGACAGGACCTCTATACGACAGGAATCGTTCAGCATCTCAATCTGCCTCGCTTCCTGCAACAAGACCTGCAGGAAGATTTCAGGCTCCAGAGGTTCAGCAACGTGCATCCAGCAAAGCAAGTGGGGCCAGCGATGTTTGGTCCATGGGATGTGTTATTCTCATGGTGTTAGGTTTCGTGGTTGACGGTCCATCTAGAGTATCAGAGCTATTGGGAAGCCTGCGCTTACTGATCCAGAAAGGCGGGGTGACTGATAGATTGTTCTATGTTACAAATGATACATATCAGTGGAGAAAAGTAACGTTGTGGGTGGACTACCACTACGAGTATCTGGATAGCTATAAGCCGGTGATCGGGGACGTTCCTGGAGTCCCACAGATGCAAGCAGCGGTGCACCCCGGGGTCGTGGAATGGTCTAACGAGTTATTTTCCTACTGTGCAGATAGACCAGAGCAGCCGGTATTGAAGGAAGCACTGGGTATTGTGTTTAAGCGCGTTCTCTTGATCGAAAAGAGCGAAAGGATTGGAGCATTTTCCTTGAGCAAGCGTCTTGCCGATGTGAGAGACCGTTGGAAAAAGATAGAGGCCCCCAGCGAACCCCAAAACGACCACCTAAAATCCAGGAGCCTGCATGATCCGGAACCTAATGACGATAATGGCATCACTACACCTCCACATGGTTCGGACAATCAGGGCGGAAGCCCTGTGCCTTCTCCTATCGTTGAAGAACCACAGCCAGTTGCTCTAGATCATTCCATGCTATGTTCAGCGATCACGCAGATAAGTGCTGTTAGTCTGGGAGAACAGCCTAGGCTTTTGGAGGAAATCCGAAACGAGCTCAGGAGAGACCCTAGCCAAGTGAGAAGACCTTGTCCTCTACCTAAGTGCTATAGCCATCCTATCCATGTGGCAATACGGAACAAATCATATGAAGCTCTCAAAGAGTTACTTCGCATCGCCGATTCCGATGATCTAAACATTCGCTGCTCCGGTTGTGGAGATCGTACTGCATTGGAGGAAGCATGTGAAGAGCCTGGGGACGAAAAGGCCTTGACGCTTTTTAAGCCTCATAAGAGCAAACTGGAAGTCACTAAGAGTTTCTGCGATGATCACAAATACATGAAGAGATACGCGATGAATGCTCTTAAAGAACTACGTCAGGATTTGGGGCAGCAACAAAAAGATGTAGGTCGGCTCCGAAGAATCCTGTCAGGTAAATCCAACGGCAGTTAGGATTATTGACTTCGTGCGACATCTTCGTCTACCTCATTAGGCCTGTATATAGCTGTAAGATAGCTACATAGACTCAAGCGTATTACTGTATCTTGCTTTCATTTTGATGAATCGGCTTTGGCCTCAGGGGTCGTTAGAGCGGTAGGCGAAGGTAGTTGAGTGCTGGTTTACTGTATCTGGGGTATCAGAGGCCAACATTGCGCTGCGCAGCATGTGATTACTACCCAGAGGATGTCTCAAGAACAATTACATTAACATTAATATACATCAAAGCTTCGCCAAAGCCCTCTACGTTTGCGCATTCAACCGTGCAGTCTCTGCTATACTGACACCCAAGCCATGTGCTTGCTGCTTCGTCGTGTCGTGAGCGAATGCACCCTGTACTACTTCTGGAGTGTTCTGTGGTGACTCAAGTTCCCGTGTCTCTGGACTTCCAGGAAGCTCAGCAGGCTTGTTGGTAGATGGCGAGTAAAGCTCAGCTCTTGTCGTGTCTCCTCCCAGTTCCTGACGGCCCGTGTGGTAATGAGCCCATTTCTGTTGTGAGTTTTGGCCAGAATGGTCCCAAGAGTATGTCGGAGGTGCTACGTATAGTCAGTGAAGAGAAAATCAAGGCCGGTTGTACAAAGAACATACGTGAGAAACCTGAAGGTGTAGTGGGCGATGCCAGTTCTGCCTTTGGTATCACCAAGGTGTTTGCCGCCTCTGTCTCGGTACTCTTTTTCTTTTGGTTACGCCGCCGACGCCACAAGAAGAATATGATCGCTGCGATGATAATCAGCAAAGCGAGTGAGCCTCCTACAGCACCTCCGATGACCGCACTAGAGGTTCCACTGGGACTGGCGGCAGCTGTGATCGTAGACGTGTCACTAGGCGCTGGAGATATACTGCTGGCGGTCGAAAGTGCCGTAGGTGCAGGGAAAGAGGATGAGAGTGCAATGTTAAGATCATGAAAGTAGTGATACTGATCAGGTCGATCCCAGAACGACGGTTCAAGTTCTCCTTCCGGACATGTCGAATTGTTCATACACGGATCCTCGTTGCAGCATCCCCAGAACGTTGGCGCCATGTTACAAGTCCACATGGGTGTGTTACCACCACACGATCCGCCGGGTGATAGGTTATATAGTGATGAAGAGCGACCTGCCGGCCGTAGCATGTCACCGAAGCAGCCATGCACGCACGGATCCGACATACAGCACCCAAGAAACTTCGTTCCCGTCTCGCACGCATACCTGATGATGGTTAGAATTATATCTCGTAACACTGTCGAAATTCGCTTTATTCCTTAAAACCATTCCGTTCTGGTGAGTTTTTCGACGTACCAAGTACCTCCACTGGGACAAAAGAAGTCTCCTGGCTTAGCTGCTGTATAGTTGGGATTCGCCATGGCGGAAATTACTTTCTAAAATGAAAGACTGACAACCTTAAGGAAGTCAAGAATACGGAGAACAATGGAACATGGAATTAGGCTGAGGAATGTAGAAATGCGAAATGCATCTCAGACACCCAGCATACTTAACAGCTTATGATTGCAGCTCCAAGAAAGCCAAGTGCTTGCGGCCCAAGATAACATAATTCCGTTGTTGTTGTAAGGGATCCCGTGATGGTCGTGGTGAAGAATGCCTTTATCGATTCCAGCGAAGGGCCCCCAAAAGGCCGGCAATGGGACCCGAATTGGGGTAGTGGCCGCCGTGGCTGCGAGGGTGGTGTTGGGTGAGAAGCTTGAGGAAATCTGTTTATACGCCCTGCGTGAGTGAAGAGGGAACAGCGCGCAAATCGAACCTATGAAACGTCCTGCGGCTGACGAAAACGGAAAAGCTGGGGCCACTAAGTTAGATTTTGGTGAAGGCTAAACCCCAAGATGCACTGTAGCGAAACTTCCACAGCGCGGTGGTCGTATAAGCTGCTTGGTGAAGTCACCGGTTGTATGTGTGGGGTCTGCAAATAGCAGCGATGAGTTGTTCACACTAGTTGTGAGCAGAGGTCTGGATATTCGATGGTGTGAGTGCACCAGCTTACTCCGCCAAGGACATATCCTCCGTAAGGGATGCAAGCCATGCAAGCCATGCGTATTTATTGTGCGAGTTTTGATTCGTACGATCTTGTCAAATTGGTACGATATCGACGGTGTCAAGACACGCGTAGCTATGCAAGGGCTCCCTTCAACGGCAGACCGTTTGCGTTTATCTCAAAGCGTGAAGTTTGAGGGAGCGTGCGACAGAATGCAGGATACGAAAGAGGCTGGGTAGGTTAGAATGCCCAGCCTTACGCAATTAACGAGCTAGTCGGACGCTCCTACCGATCGATGCAACTGCCGCCAAGGAGGAGGATGTCGTTAAGCTGTCGCTGACAGGAAGGATGCGCGTTAGAGGTCTCTTTGTTTCTTTGTTTGATTTTTACTTAGATTCAGCCGCGTTGTGCGCTTCTCAAGATAGAGCCGTCCATTTGCCCTGTGAAGAGTGGCCTTGCTAGCGTCCGTGCCGCACAATTGCTGCGTTATGGCAGCGCGCTACATTCGCTCCTGCCGACCAGACCATGCCTGGGTGAAATAGTTGTCGCCGTCTCTGGATGTCTTGCAGCGCGCACATACGACTCCGAATCTACGGCCAGCTAGCACTGGTCTGAACTACTGGGGGATCTACCGAAATGTTGTGTTTGCCTGAGTACAGATGCGCATTGAGGCGATAGACCGTGGCTGCCCCGATCAGGTAGTTCCCAAAAGCGAAGATGGTAGCAAGGCCACTCACGACAGCAATCTGAACTGGAATCAGCGAACGGAACAAGACGATATCTCTTCTCACGTATCTGAGTTACCTTCACATCGGGGCCCCATGGGGATGACGCGGCAGCACGAGCGTATATCAAGATCAAGAGACCGATCAGCAGGTACCATATACTGAATGAGAGTAGCATGATTGGCATTTGCCAAACGTAAAGATGATGGCTTTGGATAGCCTTGTCTCCCCTAAGCAAGGCTTGGAAGACTCGCAGACGCTCTCCGCGGATACGAGACAAAGTTACGTATTGCTGTGTTCCGCTGCTAACAGCAATCATGGCTGTGATTAGAGATGCGTATAGTGCAGCTTGAGTCGTCCATGGGGCCGATTCAATGACTGGCCACGAGAAGGCACTGCTTCCAACGCCGGCGAGTAGAACACCCTACGCGATCATGTCAGCCTCAAGACCGATCCAACGTGAGTTACCAGATATCTTACAGTGACATTCACCGAGATCAACTCGGCCTTTTTCTCTTCTATCCACTCGGCGCCCGTCGTTTCCTGCAGTGACGCCACGTTCGCGTGCCATGGTAGGAAGCGTCGGGAATGGCTGATTACATCTGCGAACGACACTGTCGACTTGGGCATCCTGGTAAGATAGTCCGGGTAGGGTCGGCTGTGTTGAATATCTATGTAGAAAGACCTCAGCAACAACACCTTTGTCGCCTAGGTATTCAGGCAAGCAAGCAATACATGATTGCAGCCTCGTCAACGCCTTGCGGGTTAGCTTTCCCGTGTTATACCCTGCCATTCGCTGCCTCATACGTATCTGCTGCAGCCGCCGCCAAACAAGACGATGCAGCGGTCATCGCCTCGACAGTCGCCGTCAATTGGCTGGATGGGATGCAAGAGAGCACGAGGCTGCACAACTAGGAATAGGCAGGAAGGAACTTTGACAGCACTGTCGGTCGTGAGGTGGCGTTGCCCGCTATAATCCTCTGGGATAGGTGGGGCAAAACGTTATCACAACGATGCAAAAAGAAGAAAAGCAAAAAGAGAAAAAGAAGACCGAAGCAAAAAAAGGTAAAAAGATAATGTCAGCGGTGGGATTCGAACCCACGCAGGTTGCCCTATGAGAAACCTCTTGAGAGTGCGTCTTCCGAAGAAGACAAGCTTTCGCTTGAGTCACACGCCATAACCACTATTAGATGTTAGATGGGAAGTTGTCGAGCGTTGAGAGAAATACTTACCTCGGCCACGCTGACTGATTTGATGAAAAATTTTCCGTTTTGAAAATATATATTGCAATTATTGCTATCTGGATCGCAGCGGCAAGTTTGGCTAATCATCACCTTGCCTGCAAAATCGTAAGCTCAGCAATGAATGCAACATAGCATGAGTCAGACTAATTTCCGCTATTAAGAGAATTTAAGCATAACCTATGAGTGTGCGACACGGCTTAGCTGTTACTGCAAAATCGCCTTAGGTAAAGAACGCTGACACGGAGGATCAACATGCTTACTCGCTGCGGAGCCTTAATTCGGTAGACTTCGCCTGAAACGCGAATTTGTCACACAGCTTGCTGAATGGTGTAATCTTTCGAGACTGGAACCAGTGATGCATCCATCACATCTCAATGTCGACATGGGATCTTTAAAGACTAAGAAGATGAAATGAACAACTTTGGTGCTTTCTCTACCTTCAATCATTAACTTACATCATTGAGCCTTCTAAGGCTTTGGGAGCGCAATAGCGCGCAGCGCTTGCCATATGCGAATATCCAGAGCTACTTCGCAAACCTACACATGGAGCTATCTCTCTTTAAGAGGCACCATCCGCCTCTATCTATCGCACTAACGAGTCCCAATAAATCCTGATACCCAAATCTGACCGGATCGTAGAGTCGCTTCTTCGTGTTTGACAGTCCTGATCTTTTGCCCTGTCTTATTCCACATTGCAAGCGACAACCTGCGACTCATCAACCACTCACCGTATTCGGTCTTCAACTAGTTGAATTCAATGCATGCATGTGCGAATTCGCATGGAACGGAGATCATCTTGCTCTTGCATCGCACCGTGTACACAGTATCTGTTAGTAGATCTTCTGAACTACCTAGGTATAGGTACGGGTATTAGAGTGCCTGGATGGTCTTTTTCGATAAGCGTTTCGCAATGCAGTGAAAGTGAAAGGTACCCAGGTAATCCAGACACCGTTAGATCTGCCAAGCTCTTGAGTGATGGAAGCGCACGGATTCTGCCTACATGCACGATCCGATGCGCCAGGTACCGGCCCCGCCAAAGACACACACACACACATGTAGGGCAATCTAACGGCATCGATGGGGCAACGACGCCGTCGACATAGCTTAGCAGGGTCGTCTTTGCGACTGACGTACCCTCACCGGAGAAGCAGATCGGACTCGGAGCTCGCAAATGCTACAATCCCGGCCAAGACGCTTACTCGCCTACTGCTGAACAATGCTCGGCGCCACCTCCGGGATTACGCATTCGCCAATCAAATCACGGCGGAACGGTTTTCCCCTTTTCTACCCAAAGAGTCTGACGATCTGGAAGTTGTAACACTGTTCAACAGGTGGTTAGTTGCGCCGCTTTTGGTCAGCGACCAGGATTTGAAGCAGATATTACCATTTCGCGCAGCCGATCAATTGGAATATGACCCAATGCAACCGCGTCAGACCTACTGCTACTTCCGATCTTGGCCAATGCAGAAATGGCAACTGGAGTTGATCATGCACGCGATAGAGGCAGACGGTTATGCGTTTGAGGCCTTCTCAAACTGGAAAGATGCTCTTCATACGACTGCGAGTCACAGTGTTGTGACTGCACGATACGTAGGAAGCACTTCACGAGAAGACCCAGTGAGGCGTGCCAAACACCAAAACCGCCGAGGGGCTACAAGCTTTGTAGAAAAGTTTGAAGCCAAGATATGCGAGCTTTTACCAGCAGTACCATCTAGAGGAATGTTGAATCTTGTAGAGAACAGTTCCCTGTTCTATGCAAATGCCCGGCTAGCAGTACAAAGCGACTTGTATGAGGGGTGGATGATATCCTTCTTCGATCCGCGCACATTGCTGAATCGACAACGCGGAGGCATTAACTCTTCTTTTCTCCCGTCTCATGAAGACTTCTGCATCTTGCTCAGGTGCGAGACGTCCCTCATGGCTAAGATCGCCGCTTTGCATGCTAAGAAAGACAATGGCCTGACAGCAAAAGTGCGCGATTTGTATCGACCACTGGAAAGCTCTATTCAGACAATGACCCGCGATCATCGTTCGATTGTCAACCATCTGAATGCAGCATCGCGACAAGCCACACCTCTACAGGTCGATGGGCGAACTATGCTAGTCTTCTGTGGCCTACAGACTACGAAAGCGTCAATAGAGGAAGGGAAAGGATTCTTTGATGGCTCCACCTTATCAGCCCGGTTTAGCAGGACAATCATAGAGATCCTAGCAACAAGCGAGAGTCCAGGCTTTGGAAGCTGCTTCGGAAGTGTCCGCCCCATCCTCTGCTTCAACAATCTTTACCAATGGGTTGGAAATGAGATTCAGTCCGGGAATGTTAGCAATGTAAGTCATTTGCTAACATCCTGTAAGTAATCATGCATAGCTTACATAAGTAGGACGTATTTTATCAGTGGCTTTCGCTCATAAAGCCACTCATCATTGTAACATTGGGCAAAGAGGTCGCAAAGGTTATCAACAAGAAGTCAGGCTATACGCCCATTGAGAAGTAAGATCAAAAGATTGTCCTGAACAAGCTCCTCACTAAATCTGAACAGCCTCGTACGCGCAGCTGGAAGAGCACGTGTGGTGAACAGAGACAAGGAGGAAGAAGCGATTCTTATACTTCTTTTGCATCCTGGCTTCGATAGAAGGTCACAGCAAAGTTCTCTACAGCGTAGGATGTTTTTCCTACCAAACATAGCCGTATGGGTATACCTCGACTCTACATTGAAGGCCTTGCAGGAGGAACGAAGTCGCCCATGGTCTCGTCAGGAACTCTGTCAGTCCATCAACGCGATCGCTCAAAGGAAGCTGCAACAGTCGGGCTTTTACGATGCGTTAAACAGCGTTTCGGAGCATTTTCTGGTAGAGCAAGCTAAAGCACATCCCATATCTCACAGGATCAATTCTGAGCCAGCTCATGACGTTCGTTCACCAATACTTCGTCCATTCCATTCCAACACGGTCGCTTCAGATAAAGCCGAATGCTTTTTCTCTGATTGTAAGATACCCACAAAATCCGTGCACAAACTCATGCTCGGGCTCAATATTCATATCTAATAATACCATTAGGCGGCGTGCACATGAGATCATTTTTTGAGGGCATTGCAGATGGATTACGAACCGCTCAAGGCAACCCTTTCTCTCGAGAGCGTCAACGACAAATCAAGTCACTCTACCGACCGCGTATCGAAAGCCTAACAACATATCTAGACCCAGCAAATCAAACGGGTTGGACTGATTTCCTGATGCATCAGCCAGAGGGTTGTCCTCTGGTGGCATGTGTTGAGGCCCTTGAAGAACGGCAATCAATGCCTCTAGCCAAGGCTAATCTGCTCAGGCTCTACGAATGCAGAGATCTCGACCAGTTTTCCAGCCGACGTACTGCTCTGTCCTCAATCTGTGCAGATTTCTCAGCTCGTCAGCTGGAATGGATCAAAATGCAACAACGTCGCGGACCAGAAAAGTTCTCGCCAGCTATCGAACACCAGCAAGTCCGCGGTATCTGTGTATACGTCAGTCTATCGGGCACTCTCACGATATGTGGCGAAGTTCATGGTATCCAGAAGCAGGCCCGGATCAAGCACAAAGCGATAGCTGTGAAGACTTGGCTTGACAAAAGAACGATTGATGTCAAGGCAAAACGTATCGACGTATTAGACGGCCACGGAGACAAGTTGCACACAGTCAGCAGAAACTCGTGCAAGTCTAAAGATCTGTGTGCTCTCTGGGATTTTATGCTTGGACTTGATCATGCTACCGTGTCTTCGGGGATCGTGGTAGCTCAACAGGCTGGTAGCCACGATAAGGAATCTTCGAGAGAACCTGATGTTATAAACTTTGAACGGAACCTTGGTCAAGTAAAAAAGTCTGGCAAGCCGCCTTTGAGACAAAACCAGCTCGGTTCCAGGACTCAGAACTCCCCGCCCCAAAAGATCGATGCGCTCTGGCTCCTCAATCAATTTGTAAACGAGCGGTTTCCTGCCGGTGGACTTTTCTGGACTGGAACCCCGACGCTCTTCCCGGAATCTACTGCAGACCTTCAAGGGTTCCGAGAGTAAGATTCTCCAATGATATAGCGGGTTTTACTGACGTCAAATAGATTCTTGAGGCAACCTCCCTACTCTGATCACTCATGGTCGACAGAATGGCTTGAGCTTCTAGATGAACCGAACAGCCTCGTCACACTGTCAACATCGCTGAAGTGGTTGAGGAATGTGCAGATTTTACGCAAGAACGCGGCTTCTTCAACGACTTCCCAAGGTAATGTACTTCGACGGCAATGTAGCGTGTATAAGTTGGGTCCACGGAAGGATGGATGGTAGTCTTCGAGTACATACGATAGCTGGCTCCAGACATTACTGCAGCTTTTTATTTAGAGGAACACAGGCTGGTATGTGACTTCAACCGCACAAGTTCTGCGGCGTTAACCCGGAATACCTTAAGATTGATGTATGAGCCTACTTGACTAAGTTTTGTATAATTTCATTCGGACCTACCAAAGGTAGAAAACCTCGATTCAGCACATTATTGAGGAACGTTCTCGTGTCAAGACTGAGTCGCCCGAAGATATCGTGCGGTCAGGTGTGTCTGATATCGCTAACATGGTTGGCAAGCGAGTGAGCCAGGCAAGCGAGTGAGCCACCCCACCAACTTTGCGCAACCTACGACCTCAAATCACTTATGGCTCTACCTACCCCAACTCAAAACGCCTCTCGTGAGGCTGATATAAACCTTGCAATCTTAGCTCTTAGTACAAGTCAAATTCAGACTGAGAGACGCGCTGCAGCGACGTTTGAAGTCTCTCGCGCTACCCTCCACCGCCGACGCGCTGGTAAACCCGCCCGACGCGATTGCCAGCCCAACTCAAAGAAGCTCACCCAGCTAGAGGAGCAGGTAATTGTTAGCTATATACTTGATCTAGATCTACGTGGATTTTCACCTACGTACACAGCTGTACGTGATATGGCTGATAAGCTGCTCGCTGCGCGCGGCGCAGGCCAGGTTGGACAGAAGTGGCCAGCCAACTTCGTCAAGCGTACAGACAGTCTCACGACGTGTTTCAACCGAGCGTACGATAGGCAGAGAGCTCTGTGCGAAGATCCAGTCCTAATCAGCGCCTGGTTTGAGCTCGTAGAGCAGACAAAGGCCAAGTACGGCATCTGCGATAATGACGTCTACAACTTTGACGAAGCTGGCTTTATGATGGGCAAGATCACGACTTAGCTTGTCGTGACAGCGTCAGAGAGGAGAGGTAGGCCAAAGGCTATCCAGCCTGGTAATCGCGAGTGGGTAACGTTGATCGCTGCGATCAACGCTGCTGGCTGGTCAGTCCCACCATTCCT